GTAAACCATAAGGATAACCCTAATTAAGGTAAATGCCCTTTAGCCCTTATCTCTCAACCTGTTTGCTTCCTGGCCTGGCTAAAAGCTATGTGAGGTTGGTTATATGTAGGTCTTATTCACTGTATCCCTATGCCTAGCACAAAATAGGTACTCCATAAATATATGATGAATGATGAATTATTTTATAATCTTTAGAAAAAAATGGTTCCTCCACATTTACAAATTGCTTGGTAAACTTGGTGAGGTTTGTTGATCAGGGGTGCTGCCGAGAAAGCCAGATACGATATAAGCACATACATACGTGGCACAGCTCTTTATTTGCACTCATTTGCCCACATTTTCTACCTTGGATATAAACAAGGACACTATGAGAAAGAGATGACTACTTTGCTGATGTCAAGATGCACAATACTGCACTATCGTCCTGATCAACATATAATAGCTTAATCAAAAGAACATTAGTCACGCCTGTAATCCTAGCTCTCTGGGAGGCTGAGGCGGGCGGATTGCTTGAGGTCAGGAGTTCGAAATCAGCCTGAGCAAGAGCAACCCCATCTCTACTATAAATAGAAAGAAATTCATTGGCCAACTAATATATATAGAAACAATTAGCCGGGCATGGTGGCGCATGCCTGTAGTCCCAGCTACTTGGGAGACTGAGGCAGCAGGATTGCTTGAGCCCAGGAGTTTGAGGTTGCTGTGAGCTAGGCTGACGCCACGGCACTCACTCTAGCCTGGGCAACAAAGCGAGACTCTGGCTCAAGAAAAAAAACAAAGAAAAAAAACCAAAAAAAAACAAAAAACAAAAAAAAAACCAACAAAAAAAACCCCATTAGGTTAGTTTGGCATGTAGTTTTAGTAAACTCATACTGCTTTGGGGAACATTTAATTATAGCCCATAAACCATCCTTTTAATCTAATTGACAATCTTGGATGGAACTGGTATCAAGCTCGACAATTCATTAATTCATTCAATCAATGTTTGCTGAGAACCTATCATATACCAGGCATTCTTCAAGTATTAAAGAGGAACTGGTTGAAAAGGATAGTTCCCTGTCATGGCACTGAGTCCAGTGAGAAAAATAGAGAATAGAAAACAAGAAAATAAGTACTGACACAAGTAATCATGAAAAAAAAAGGGTGGTATGAAGGAATTACAGGGGGTTAGTTACTTTAGATTGGGTAGTCAGAATAGGCCAACCTTAAGAGACATTATTTAGATTGAAAACTAAATGGTAATCCAAATTTTGTAAAATCTCTTGGCTTCTCCTTTTTGAAAATCAGGATGTCTGTCCTGTCTTTAGTCTTCTGTCACCTTTCCATGATTTTTTGGGGATAATAATTACATTAAAATGCTGTAAGAGTTTTAGCAGTATGGCAAAGAAAACAAAACGGTCTCCAAATAGATCTGAAGACTTTTATAGCTTCAGCAAGAAACCTGGATTCTTTGTTTTTTCAAAATATTATGGGATACAAATCGTTTTGGTTACCTGGATTGCTTTTGAAACCTGGATTCTAATTTTTTTCATTATTAATCACTGGTTATTTTTCTTTTAGGTAACACTAGGAGTCAATTATTTTCAAGGAATGTCAGTTATTTTTCTCCCACTACTATGAAAAGTTTAGTTTCTAGGAGATTAAAGAAAGCCTACATGTTCAAACTAAATGTCAAAGGAAGCTGGTTACTATAAGAATCAAACATATACTAAGAGACATGAGTGAAGTTACAAAGGGTAAAGTCTTTTTCAGAAACCTAAATAAATTATATAATAGAAAAATTTTAGGTTGATTACTCAGTTTAATCACAAGTTTTGGTAAATGAAAAGTAAAATCACCTTGTTAGTCTTCACTAGGTTAGAAACTCTGGGAGAGGTTAAAGTAGGCAAAAGTATAATCAAAAGTTGTTTCTACCTTCTACTGCGATTTTATGTGAATCATGGCTGGCATGGTAACATATTTGTTTACTGGAAAACTAGATCTAAGAAAAATATGGGGGAGGGGATTATCTACAGTTGCCCGTGTTTTTATTAAGTGATTTAAAAATTTTAATTCCATCTTGAACTTTTCATAATACTTTATAAGTGCCAAAGCGTTTTCAGGTTTACTATTATGTAATTTTCATAATGTCCTATGAGGCATAGAGAACATATTATTCTTATGCTTTAGGGATAGGAAAGAATTTGTTAAAAAGGTGACCATATTTATAAAATCCATATAAAAATAAACTAGAAAACGATTTACATTATGAAAATATTCACTTATAAGGTTCATTATTTAATATATGACAGGAAGGCTTATGAACAGAGAAACGTAAGAATTTAAAGAACTGTCAAGTAATGATCAGAAAAGAAGATAAAGCATTTATGAAGTAATAAAGTCAATGAGAAATTATTAGATTTATATTACTCAGCAATGTACATTTTCTATAGAGATATCTGTTACATTTTCAGCTTCATTGAAAATGCATGTACTAAAAACATCTAAGGTTGAAAATGCCAACAGTTCAGGAAAGGATTACTTTTCCAGTAAGAAAGCAGTTGTTAAAATTATAAAAAGCAGATTGGTATCAACAAATAACACCCTAAAAAAAAATCATTGACAAAGAATTTAATACCTGTAATACACAACACAAAATGCTAGTTTATAAAGAACATAAATGTTATTGCATTAAAGTCCCTCAAGAAATTTATTCATGCAATAAACTCATTGAAATAAATATAATGGATAGTCTTTCATGGAATAAAATGCATTTAAATAGTAATAAAGTCCTTTGTGTAGATATACTTGTGGACAGAATTTTCCAGATTTATTGAAGACTCTTTGGAGAAAAGCAAACAGTTTACATTCCTTACAATACTGAAGGTACTATTTATATACTATCAAAAAAATATAATAAATTAGTTTTTTATACTGTATTAAGTTTACATTAACTGTTACATACTTTGGTGTGTTCTTATAGAGAACAGGAATTTTTAAGATTTTTCTTAAATATGCAAAGTAAACCATAAAGAGGGCAATCAAAACAGTGTCCTGGAGTTGGGCCTGAAGGGAAAATATAAATGATGAGATATGCCACTCTGAGATTGTGATTAGAGAGCTAATTCAACAGAAATGCACGCAGAACATCCTTATGTTGTATGAAAATAGTCTAAAATCCAATTATTTTGCCAATATGTACAAATTTACCAGATACATTATTTTTGATTAGTAGAGTTTATCTTTTATCTATTATTTTTTAAAAGTACTGAAATCAAGTATCAAAAATAAGCACATTTTAAAGTTACGTTAGAACTTTCAAATACATGTCTATTCATATGAAAGGCTAAATTTATTTCATAGTTTGCTTATAAGAGAGTTAACATCCAACATTAAAGTTGGAATTTTATTACCTGGCCAATCTGAAGACTTTTAGGAATTAGAATTGCTAATTACAAAGGTCTTTAAATAAACATTCTTTACACAAAGAACAGTTAAGACAGTGTAACCAGTACAAAATGTTAGCTATAGTTAGCTATTGAAGTTCAAAGATCAATAAGGTAGTATCTAGACAAAATTGTCCTTAAAGTTCAAATAATGGTCCAAAATAGGCTGTCGTGCAAAATGAGATCATGAAAAGATAATTCAAAACATAATGATTTCATCTCCCCAAATTTTATCACACACCATTTGAATCAATGTTTTTGTAAGAAAAAGAAATTTGATAGCACCTTGAGACCTCCATTAAAATTACAATGTAGAGTAGAATAGCTACCATTTTCTAAAAATAATCTATATCAAGGATGGCTTGACTTACGTTACAATTTCATTTAGATTGAAAGTCAATGTGATGTTTAGCAAAGTAATCTTTCAAAAGGGGTAACCGATGCAAACAAATGAAGGTCAAGGACATCTATGTACAGAGATAGATATTGCCACCATTCAAGCATTGTTCTTGGAAGAATTCAACTAAACTGGTAACTATGGCACTTATGGATTTCTGAAAAAATTTAATCTCTGGATTGCTTTGGAAACACAGGCATAATTTCAGATTAGCTTTTGATTATTTTGTAAATGTATCTTTTCATTAAGTTGAATACTTAGCCTCATACCTTTAAGTTTACTGCTGTTTAAAAAGAATGAGTGAGTATGTGAGTTTTAGGGCCATTTTGGAATAACACACTCAGTGTCTCAATGATTAGTGTCTGTCTTGTCTGTAAAGAGTCCATATTTTACTAAAAAAAACCAAAGTGAAAATCTTAATGATGTTAAAATATTTAACTGTACAATAAGGGAGCCTCACTTGAAATATATTGTGAATTTTGCTTCTTATTGCCTTTTTAAAAAAATTAGCAATTAAATACAAGTATTCACTAATTAATAAAAATATTCACAATAGCCGGGCGTGGTGGCTCACGCCTGTAATCCTAGCTCTCTGGGAGGCCGAGGCGGGCGGATTGCTCGAGGTCAGGAGTTCGAAACCAGCCTGAGCAAGAGCGAGACCCCGTCTCTACTATAAATAGAAAGAAATTAATTGGCCAACTAATATATATATATAAAAAATTAGCCGGGCATGGTGGCGCATGCCTGTAGTCCCAGCTACTTGGGAGGCTGAGGCAGAAGGATTGCTTGAGCCAGGAGATTGAGGTTGCTGTGAGCTAGGCTGATGCCATGGCACTCACTCTAGCCTAGGCAACAAAGCGAGACTCTGTCTCAAAAAAAAAAAAAAAGAAAAAAAAATATTCACAATAAAAATACATTATATCCATTCCTGATAATATACACATATTCTATGTAGGTCAAAGGAAATCAGAGTTTAAACATTTTTCTTTGAATCATCTCTGAAATGTATTAGTTTTATAGCAACAATCCCTTTTTAGTAAAAATAGGTAATTTATATAGATTAAATTTCTAAAATACTAGTACATTTTCATGAATATATGCTCTCATATTTTTGCTTAGATATAAGACATAGTGTTTCAAAGAGAAAATAAAACACATAGCCCAAACCAAACAAAAACAAGTATGCAAAAACATTTTATTTATAATAGATCAACATTTTTTGACATGAAAGGTAGCCACTTTCAATTTCTCAGGAATGCCTAGAATCCAACAGTTTTCAGAAAGACTAGTCAACAATTATTTCACTGTAGGTAAATGAAATAATTTCAGAATGAACTTTTTAAATGGCTTTGCCTGTGGTAAATTATTTTATAAGCTTGAATGTGTGGTAAGCTAGCTTTCCCAGGAAGTCAATGTGATCCAACTATGTTTCAAGTGTATTAAACCAGTTTATACAACAAATATGAGAATCACCTATGTGTATCAACTGTGCTCAAATGAGAATTCTCTTTATCAAAATATTCATTTTTTTTAAAAAGGCCTCACATTAACCCCCCAAACCAATCACCCCCTTTCTATGCCCAGCACTCTTTTCTACTTCAATTTGCATGACTGTATAGATACTGTATAGAACTGTCAAATTCCAGTGGAACTGTACACTGACTTAAGACTGTATGTATAATAATATACATATCAAACACGAGAATAGTCACCGACTTTAAGGGATAAGGTGGTAATTAACCAGTAATAATTTAGCGAGTGTCATTTTTAGTTTAGAGGGAAAAAAGCAGCCCCCAAATGTCCTTAACTTTTCAGTACTTCTCTGTGACACACAGAATGAAAAATCTCTAAAATTAAAACCATTAGAGAATATCTTAAATAAAATGTTTTACATAGTAAGTGTTAAATTTCAGATTTAAACTATATCTTCTTCTGTATTTCAATTTGGGAATAATTTCACAATTATTAGCTCTTCTCAGTTACATTTATTTTTCAGCATTTAAATCTACTACACACCAGTTTGTAAATTTCACCTTGGTTACCACTCCCCATGCTTATGTGCTATCTTTCTTTAGATAAGTCCATTATAGGCATGCAAGTGCTGGGGAGGTTTAAATAGCACTTAAAGGATTTCATGAGAGCTCTGAAATGTTGAAGTTTCATCATTAGCTATTTACTGTAGGATCTGTAACAAATTCATCACAGCATCCTAAAGAAATACTGTGTGAATGGAATGTACACAATTCCTACAGAATACACAAACTGAAGTCCTAAAGGCACAGAGTAATGCTGGTGGCTCTTTCTAGTCAGTTAAGAAACAATAAAAAGTCTGCATTATTCTTTCATAATTTAAATACTTAAGTAATCTCCACTTTTATTACTTTATAACAATGACTTCAAATTTACATTATTTTAAGTACCATTGTAATAGCTTAGTGTATAATACAGATATTTGCTAATATCCCATCCAAAAATTAAAAAAAAACTTCTTCACTATATATATATATATATATATATATAAAATTATTCTGAAACACAAGAACATAGATGAGGGACTTGGTACAGACTATCAACTCAATTTTCTATCGCCACAGTTGTTAACTCCAAAATCAACAGATATACAGCAATAATCAAAAGCAGTGCAAATATCTTTGGAGATTAGGATAAAATTATAATGCAACAACATAAAACTGGGGAAATAAAAAAGGCAAGTACTTCAAGTACAAGGAACCAGTCTGCTTGAGGTCCATCTTAGTGTTTACTGGGGGCTTCCTTCCAGCTTCTACTTCTTTCTCTGAAACACATTGGCCAACATGGCACCTGATGTTGTCAACTGGCCCATTTTGTTCAAAAACTTGGTCTTTGTATCTTCACTCACTAAGCTTGCAGCAATTGACATTGAGCTAGGAAAGAAATTTTAAAACTCATGTAAGACAACTACAAAAATGAAAATATCATTTTTTCATTTCTTTAGCAGCATATCATTAAGAAATACATTCAGAATTGGCATCACAAAATGAAAACTAATTATTTGTGGACAGCAGTTTTATGCACCATACTTGATTAGGAGCTTTCATGTTCATCATTTACGTTAAAAGAAGCAATATGTGTAGTGGTTATGAGCAAGTCTGGGACTGGACTGAATCTTGGCTCTGTTTATCAGCTGTGTGATCTTAGGCAAGTTATTTAATCTATAAAATGAAGAAATTCTAGTACCTATCTCATAGGGTTAGTAGGATTATGGATTGTAAAGTACTTAGCATAGTGCTAGGTACCTAATATCATGCTATAATTGCTAGTATAGTTATTATTATTTATCAGTATCACTTCATTTAATTCTTACAGCAATCCTGGAAGATAGATATTATCACTATTTTCACGAATGAGTAAATTAAATCACAGTGAAGTTTTGTACTGTACTGATAATAATTCTATGATATAATATATTCCTTTTTGAGGGGGAAACATGTCCTGAATTGCCAGTTGCATTAATTTCAATCAACAGTTTCAAATCCATTTTTTCTTTCTTTTTTACTAACCTGCTGTGTAGGAAGTAAACACAATCTAAATGATGACTAAAGATTGCTAATTTAACACAGTATTGAACAGCAACAAAATACTGATCAAGCACAATTTTTCAGTGACCCAACAACTGTCCTATAATAGACTCAGGATTATTGCCTAGCTTATTGCCTTGTGGCTATGGCCAAGATGGTTCAGTTTCCTCATCTGTAAAACACAGCTTACAATTTCTATTGTAAAATATCCTGAGGATTAAATAAGATGTTTTTGAACATGTCAAGGACATTGTGTAGAAAGCTACAGGTGCTCAACAGATGTCTGTTGAACCTACAGCATGAAGTGTGTGCTGTCACCAAGGACATCTGGGTCTGTGTAGTTTTTAAGGGTGTGCACCATCAATTACTCAGTTAAAAAACCAACCACAACTCCCACCTTGAAAACCTCACTGCTCTTCTGCCAGCATACCAATGGTTTCTCTCTTCATGTCTGACTGCTCCTCTCCTGCTGCTTTTACTCTTCCCACAAAATAATCCTCCATATAGTTCAGTATTTGGCTCTTGATTCTTCAGTTACAAAACTTAACTCTTAAAGTTTCAAATACCACTTACATTAGGATGACTCCAAAATATTTACTGAATCACATCCCTTAACTGTCTCCCTTTCTTGTCTTTACTCTCCAAAAGAAGGACTTTTTAAAAAGTTGGTTTATAATGTTATCATACCATATTGCAAGGAAGTGCCATGTCAAAATGACTCAGGAGGCAATTTGAAAAGGCTAGAATTGGCTAAAGATAGGATAACTTGGGGATCAACAGGATAATAAATGCAATGTATCAAATTACATAAAATATGTTTAAATATATAAGTTTATAATGATACTTTTAAAAAACTACCTGATTGGTCACCAGAGAATGAATTACTTCATAATTTTGAAAAAGGGCAAATAAAGAAAACATTTATCTTGCCTTTACTATATAAACTATACCACTGTGTAACAGTGTATATATAGGTTAGGTTTTTCTTCTCTGAAGTATTATAGATCATAAATGGAACAGGAATGATAGAATTAGAATATTATATTTTGTAACCTAATGAACTAGTGGAGCTAGGAATTAATCATTAACAACTTGTTGACATCACCAAAAAAAGAATGAGGCAGACATTATCTGCTTTATAATAGAAACATACCCCCTTTGATGAAGCAATCTTGCCAAAAGAAACAAAGAAACATGCCCTGAATTTGATTAAAGTCTCTAGATCTAGACCCAACTACCAAATTTATGGGAGATACACAAGAACATGTTAAACACCACAGGGGAAATGAAATCAGCAAAATTCAGACTGTGGGAAACTCTACAGGACAAGTGATCTAGTTTCTTCAATACGTAAATTATACTTATTGTATAAAAAAGTGGTAAGAGGGGAACCTTTTATCTGTGCATTGAAACAGACTTAACATATCAACCAATTGCTATGTATGGTACTCATTTGGATCCTGCCTCAAAGAAACAAACTATAAGGAAAAAATAGACAAGAAAACACTGATGACATTTATTAACAATTAGAAATTTGAACAAAGGCCAGACAGTTGATGATATTAAGGAGTTATTATTATTTTGGTGTGATAATGATATTGTATTTATATTTCTAAAAATAACAATTATTCTTTTAAAGATAGCTATAGAGTAAGGAAGGAAAAAGTAGGTAGGGAATGGATAAAATAAAATTGACTATACGAGTTGATCATTTTTGCAGCTAAGTGACAGATACATGGGAATTCATTATATTTTCCATTTATTTGAAATTCTCAGATGATTTGAATCCTTCTATTTGTTTTAACCTTCCATGGCTACAATGGCAGGTATATATGGAAAAGAGCTCCTTCTATCTGAAGAGGCTAAAGAAAGGATTCTGATAACATTAAAGACACAAAAGGCTGTGTGTGTTGGCATGGGGGTAAGGAGGAGAGTGTGTGTGTGTGTGTGTGTGTGTATGTGTGTATGTCCTCAGATTGAAAGGATGAAACACTTAATTCCTGGCAGGCAGCCTTTAAGAAAATACTTTTGAGCTTTTTTTTTTTTTTGAGACAGAGTCTCTCTTGGTTGCCGAGGCTAGAGTGAGTGCCGTGGCATCAGCCTAGCTCACAGCAACCTCAAACTCCTGGGCTCAAGCGATCCTCCTGCCTCAGCCTCCCGGGTAGCTGGGACTACAGGCATGCACCACCATGCCCGGCTAATTTTTTATGTATATATTAGTTGGCCAATTAATTTCTTTCTATTTATAGTAGAGACGGGGTCTCGCTCTTGCTCAGGCTGGTTTCGAACCCTTGACCTCGAGCTGTCTGCCCGCCTCGGCCTCCCAGAGTGCTAGGATTACAGGCATGAGCCACCACACCCGGCCTACTTTTGAGCTTTTTATGTCTAACAGAGTCCATTTAAGATTAATCACTCAAGGTTACTTTGGTAAGAATTAGAGTACATACAGTTCACTTGTAAATTACTCTCTCTCCTGAATGCCCAACTTTACTCTTTCATATCTATGTTCATATTTTAATTTTACTAAATTTTTGAATTATAATTAATGTTGTTGGAAGCATATGACTAGAACATCCCCAAGTTTACAATCCTTTATGCAGTGAACTGTTCAAATTTCTAGATACTGTTTTGACCAGTGAGTCCCTGATCCAGCTACATATTAGAATCTTGTTGGAAGCCTTTAAATATACAGGCTGACACAGAATGTTGAGAGGAGGGCTCAGAACATGGGGGAGACATTTGAATCTTAAATTCCCCAGATACTTCTGATGACAGAGTTCATGAACCAGCACTTAAGAACTGCTGACTTAATTTTCTTATCTTTGATATAAGTGACTACAAAATAATACAAAATGAAACATTAAACTTATCTATAGCAAATTTAGATAGAGAAATTAAGGTTGACATGAACCCTTAAAAAATGAATTAATGTCTTACCCTTGAGGCTCTTGGACAGTCTTGTTTTCTACTTTTTGTTCACATTCTTTTATCATGGAACTTAAAATAACCTGAAAAAAATTACTTTAGTGAATTACAGTTTACATAGTAAAATACTATGATGAATCTAAAGACTTATTTAATTTTTAATATTCTCATAAGCTAATATGTTAATTAAAAATTTAAAGTTTTGGCAACTACTTTGTTAAAGGAATTCATATTAGACTGCTAGACCAGGTATAGAAATAGCTTTAAAAAAACTCAATCACTTAATAATTTATTTTGATTTTATTAGACTTCTTTCTGTTTTCTTTATTCCCTTAGCTTCCCCACCACCTAACATTAAAACTAAAATTTATATAGATCTATATATTTAATATATACACATAAGTATGGTCACAAACATACTTTCCCAGTAAAAACTGCTCTGTTCTATGTCTTTTTGCTTTCTCCAGGTTGCAAAAATCAAGATGCCCTATTTAAATGTCTAGAGCTGATACTAGGTGGAGCTAGTGGCTACTAAAATACAATTGGGGATATGATGCGTGTCTGAGAGTTAACATCATTCTTGCAGGAAGACTGAGTGATAGAAAGTGGGGAGGGATCTAAGCTGCTGCTCCTATTGCTTGCAGCCACACCAGAAACTGAATAGCCCTCCAGAACATTCTTGGCCCATGTTTGGGCATCAAGGTTAGTAAACAAACTGTTTACCTACTATGGGACAGGTACTTTTTTAGACACTAAGAGAGCAAGTAAGACAATATTCCCTCTTTGTTGAGCTTATGTTCTAATAAGGGAGAGAAACAATAAATACACAAAAATAGGTAAATTATCTAGTATATTACAAGGTGATAAAGGCTTTGGAAAATACAATGAGCAAGATAAAGGGTACTAAGAGGGCCAAGGTGGAGAATGTTACAATGTTCAGGGTAGGCTTCAAGGAGAAGATGACATTTAAGTGAACACTTGAAGGAGATAAAGGAATGTCTTCGGCACTGGGAAGAGGCTGCACAATGGCTCTGACGTGGGGGTAGGTCTTTCATGTCATAAGCCAAGAGGCCAGAGTGGTGGGTGCATAGTGAGCAAGGCAGAGAGGGTAGAAAATAAAATCTAAAGATATTCTTAATGAAGGAGCTGTTGTGCTTTGTAGATAATGGTAAAGACTTAGGGCATTATTCTGAGAGAATGGAAATTTTATCATATGTATGTTGGAACTCCAGATTATCTCTTTTTTGAGTCTTTTCTGTTTTCTTGTTCTCACATCTCACAGGTTATAGATTTTGTTTCCTTGGTTTTTTTTTAGCTTTATTGTTTCTGGGGGGAGTGTTTTGTACTTTTTCTTCTATTCCCTGCATTATCTGATTCCTCTAGTATTCTTCTTGTATGTTTTCATCTCTGTCTGCAGTATTCGTGGCTTTTCTTAAATGGGTGGTAATTTTATGATGCCCACTAAAGACTGGGGCACCAAAAATGCTGATTAGAATCTCTTCATACACGAGTAGGCTTCACTTCAATGTGTGAATCTGGCATAAACCTTACTATTGATCTTTTCCTCATGTGGGTACAATCCTGGTTGCCAGCATTCAAAAGGTAGGGAAGTATCTCATCATTAACTATGCTTTCACTTAATTTCCTTCTTTTCAGTATAGCACCTCAGTCCTGATCTCAGCTATGCCTGATATTCCAAGTCTAGAAAGTAAAAATCTAGCTTTCCAACAAGGTTAGAAAGGGATTCTAATCTGGGAGTCTGATCCCTTTAAAGTCTTTAGACCATTCGACCTATTTTTAGTCACACCCTACACCCTGATGGAGGAAGGGTGATCTGTGGTGAAATAGGCTTGCTTCTTGTAGACTTAGATTTAGCATTTATCTTGGATATAAAAATCTTTAACAAAACATTAACAAACTGAGTCCTGCTACATATAAAAGGAATTACATGCTATAATCAAGTGGGATTTCTCTCAGGAATGCAAGGTTGGTTTAATGCCCTAAAATGAATTAATGGAATACACTGTATCAACAGAAGAAAAAATTTGATTTTCTTCAAGAAATCACGATTTTATGATTATCTTAACTGGTGTAGAAAAAATATCTGAAAACATCTAACGTTCCTTCATGATATAAAAACATTCAACAAACTAGGAATAGAAAGGAACTTCCTTGACCTGCTGAAGGGTATCTATGAGATACACAAAGCAAAACAGGGAAAAAAAAAAAAAAGGAGAAATAGACAATCCCTAATCATAACTTTTTTTTTTTCTTCTTTTTTTTTTGAGACAGAGTCTCACTTTGTTGCCCAGGCTAGAGTGAGTGCCGTGGCGTCAGCCTAGCTCACAGCAACCTCAAACTCCTGGGCTCGAGTGATCCTTCTGCCTCAGCCTCCCAGGTAGCTGGGACTACAGGCATGCACCACCATGCCCGGCTAATTTTTTATATATATATCAGTTGGCCAATTAATTTCTTTCTATTTATAGTAGAGACGGGGTCTCGCTCTTGCTCAGGCTGGTTTTGAACTCCTGACCTTGAGCAATCCGCCCGCCTCGGCCTCCCAAGAGCTAGGATTACAGGCGTGAGTAATCATAACTTTTAATACATGTCTTCCAATAGTTAGTGGAACAGATCACAAAAAAATTGATATAAATATAGGAGAACTAAACCATAAAATTAACTAACATTACCTTATTGAAATATATAAAAGAGTGAACTTAACAGACAGAATTAATGTTCTTTTCAAATGCCATCTGGATTAGATGCTCGGCCACTAAGATAACTTCAACAAATTTCAAAGGACTGAAATCATAGTATGGTCTGTCTCTGACCATAGAAGAATTAAGTTAGAAATCAGTAACAAAAATATCACTATCAACTGCCCCCAAACTAAATAAACTTCATGGATCATAAAGAAATAATGGACATGAGAATGATAATAAAGATACAACATAGCAAATGCATGGGATGTAGCTAAAGAAGTATGTAAAACCTTAAATTCATAATCAGAAAAGAAGAAAAGTTAAAAATAAGCTTCTTTCTCAAGAAGTTAGAAAAATAGAAAAAAACTAAAGGAAATAAAGATGAAAGTAGAAATCAATAAAATAAAAAACAAGCAGTAGAGAAAATCAACACAGCCAAAAGTTCAATATTTGAAAAGATTAATGAAATTTTATTGATATATAATATTTGTACATATTTATGGGATACATGTGGTATTTTGCTACATGCATAGAATGTGTAATGACCAAGTCAAGATATTTGGGTATTTATCATTTCTACATGTTGGGAACATTTCAAGTCTAGCTATTTTGAAATATATAGTACAGTATATTGTTGTTAACTATGGTCACCTACTCTGTTATCAAACATTAGAACTTATTCCTTCTATTTATCTGTATGTTTGTACCCATTAACCAGCCTCTTTTCATCCCTCCAATCACCATTCCCTTCTCAATCTCTGGTGTCTATCATTGTATTCTCTGCCTTCATGAGATCAACTTTTTTAGCTGCCACATATGACTGAGAATATGTGATATTTGTCTTTCTGTGCCTGGCTTATTTCAGTTAACATAATGACCTCCTGTTTCATCCATGTTGTTGCAAATTACATTTCCTTTTTTCTTATTGGCTGAATACTATTCCACTGTGTATATATACCATATTTTCTTTATCTACTCATCTGTTAATAAACACTTAGGCTGATTCCCTATCTCTGCTATTGTGAATAGCACTGAAATTACTTTGATATATTGATTTCTATTCTTTTGGAATAAATGCCCAGTAGTGGAATTGCTGGATGATATGGTTCTACTTTTAGTTTTTTGAGAAATCTCCATATTGTTTTCCACAGTGGCCGTACTAATTTACATTCCTACCAACAGTGTATAAGAAGGGTTCCCTTCTCCCTGCATCCTCACCAGCATCTGTGACATTAATAAAGGAGGTTACCCTTGATAATATGGGTAGGCCTCATCCAATCAGTTGCAGGCCTTACGAACAAAAAGTAAAGGTATCCTACAGAAAGAATTTACTTTAAATCCCGTCTGAGTTTTTAGCCTGCCAGCCAGTCCTCCATATTTTGGAGTCAAGACTGCAACATCAATTCCTGCCTGAGTTTCCAGCCTTCTGGTTTCTCTGACACATTTAGGACTTGCCAGCTCCCACAATCACATGAGCCAGTTCCTTAAAATAATCTCTTAATATATCCTATTGGTTTTGTTTCTCTGGAAAACCTTGACTTATGCAAACACATATGTGATATACCCTTTGAATATATATTCTATAGTTTACATTATAAAATAGTATTCTCTTGAGAAGAATGAGAATATGCAAAAGTATAAAAGCAAAAGAAGATGGTATGTACTGGAAATGATTAATTAATTTGACACAGCTGGGGAAGAGTGAGTACGGGCAGAGAGGAAGAAAGAGTAAGAGAGAAAGGAGAGATATGAGGCTATCAATATGAACACATGCCAGATGATAAAAGGCCTTGCATGCAAGAAACCTTTAAAGGGATTTAATAGAAGAATAGCATGAACAGATTTATACCGTAGAAAAAGTATTTTGGCTGCAGTGAGAATCAAATAAAAGAGAGGTAAGAGTGGAGAAAAATTAGGATATTCTACAATGCTCTTGATGAGATGTGATTAAAGACTGAATTAGCAGAGTGGCACAAGTATAAAGGAAGGGAACAGAATAGAAAGACATTAAGAAATTAAAGAACTAATTGGATATATTCTAGGTTGACTATTAGGCATTAAACTTGCAGAGAAATCAGTCTGTCATTATCCAAAATGAGGGAAAGAGAGTAAAAGGTTGGTTATTTTGGCTAAGAGGACTGGCCATGCTGAGTTTGATATGATGCCAATGGGACACAAAGGTTGAATGTACATGAAGCAGTGAACAATACAGTTCTGTGGCTACAGTATGGGTCAGACCAGAATATTCAGATTTGTGAGATAGTTACATATAATACCGACAAGTTAGATGGTGTGTAAATGAACTTGTTCACAGAGAGGAATGCTAATGAATTAAAAAGCAAAAATTTAAAGGTGAAGTAAAAAGGAGGAGAGATTGGGAAGAAGCAGAAAAAGCTAGGATTTGAAGTGGGTTCCAAGAGCCTCAGGAGTTTTGAAACAGAAAATGCTGCAGAAAGACCTGGAGCTCTCAAATCTACAGTCCTGTCAGTGTGGCAGTTTGGTCATGAGTGACTTTAGGGATAGCAGTTTCATTGGAATAGTGTGAGGTAGTGAATATGATGGGCTAAGGGACAGTCTGAAAGCTGAGAGGTTGAGTGTGAACTTTTGAGAAGAAAAAGATTTGGAGAGGAATGAAGAAGAATTTTTGTTTCATTTAAGAGAGGAGAGTCAATCACAAAATGAAAACCTGGCAGAAAAATAGGTTAAAGATACAGAATAGAAAATAATGATGAACAGGGTTTTGGAGGAAATAGGAGGAGAAGCAGGAGAAAAAGAGAATAAGAATTATGAGGAAATAAAGATAGAAAATAGAAACTTTGTCTCTAAGAAAGTTGATGGTCAGAGATAACATTTTAAAGCTAAAAAAATTTCACGTATATTCTCTTACTAAATTCTCATTATATTAAGTAAAGGAGAGTATGTTGTCCTTACTTTAGAGAATTAAACAAAGCCTCGAGATGTTGAAGGAGTTGCTCAAGATATCACAATTAGTAGATAAATTTATAAAATGACATTGAGGTAGATTTTAAAAAATTAAGTACAGCATATTACAATCTAACCTCACATAAAGAAGAATGAAAGTCTGAACAGGCAATAATAAAACATAAACACGGTACTGATAAACACAGTGGCTCACCTCATGCTCTGGAGAGAGATGTTCCATGTCAGTCCGTAAACATCTGAGACCAGGTAAAAAGTGATTAACCATTAAATCCTCTGAAATGACTTGGGACAAGGCAGTTAAGGAAATTAAAAAACAAAACAAAACTAGTATGTCTAACAAAACAGAGGTTACTAACATAAAAAAAAGAAGTCCTCTTAAATGATGCCTCTGGCATGCTGACCACTCAGAGTAAAGAAGCTCCCCTCAAGTATGACTCTGCATTGGCAGAATTAGTTATTTATAAAGAGCCAATTGTGTTTACTCACACAAATCTATTTATGTCAGTGGTATCATTCCTTGTAACATTCCATAATTTAATCATGTTCTGTAAATGTATGAAATAATAATCAAAAAATTTAAAAATTTTATTTATTTATTTGTTATTTATTTTGAGACAAAGTCTCATTCTGTCACCCAGGCTGGAGCGAAGAGGCATCATATAGCTCACCTCCAACTCCTGGGCTCCAGTGATCCTCCTCCCTCAGCCTCCTGAGTAGCTGGGACTATAGGCGTGTACTACCATGCTCAGCTAATTTTTTCTATTTTTCCATTTTATGTAGAGATGGGGTCTCTCACTCTTGCTCAGAATGGTCTTGAATTCCTAGCCTCAAGCAATCCTCCCACTTTTGCTTCCCAGAGAGCTAGGATTATAGGTATGAGCCATTGTGGCCCACCAACACCCCAAAATTAAATCATATAACCTAATCGGATGTTTAAATGTTGCATTTGAGTTATCTTGAAGTATAAAAAATAAAAAAAATTAATGTTTCCACAACAACTAAGTTGAAAGTTTTGGAAAAATTTGATAAAGGCAAGCACACTGCTTAAAACATTGCTGTTCAATTATTATGTATAAAACAACTATAAAAGATTTAGAGAAATATAAAAATCTAGAAAACATTCTATACTCAGTATCAGAAATGTTTCTAGATCCTCTTTAAAGAAACTTAAACTGAACATCATAGACAACTGCAGTGTGGATGTGGGTTTATCTGAGAAACAAAAGAAATGCCTCAGTTGTACATCAAAAGATTGGTACAAAGAAAACACAAAACATTTATATATTTTAAGTTAAAATAAGTTATCTAACATATATACTTTTTTCCTGGTTCTGGCTTTAACCATCCTGTTAAAGTGATCTACTATTAGTCTTGATTGAATTAGGTAAAAGAGCTTTTGCTATGACTAGAATGTTTACTGTAAGTTTTGTACTACTTATAGTTCCTAGTCATCTTTGCATTTGAGTTATCTTGACATTCAAAGATATCAGGAAAGCAGAAGCATTTCTCAAGAAAACAATTCATCTTGGTTATTTACATCAATTCTGGCATATTCTGACCTTATCCTAGTTGCTAGCCTTTTAAAAACAGCTCTTAATTTCATATTGTATCACATCAAAGTGAAAAATGCCAGTAAACGAGCTCCCTCACAAAGATAATTTAATCAGTGTGTTTGGAAAAAAAATTCATTAAGGAAAAAAATCAGCATAACTACTACCTTGAAAATACACTTATAAATAAAAATTGTTCATAAATGAAGCTCCTATAATGAGTGATTTATAAATTCAATAGGAACTAAAAATATAGATATCATTGGGTTGAACCAAATCTCTATAGACATCAGAAGGCTGCAATCTAATGATTATGTAGTCTTGTTTTCTAGATATGGGGAAGGTACTGCCAAGATATAATTGTGAGTGACCTATGGATTAGTAGTTAACAGTCTGATTTAGAGAAATAGGGGAACAGAATGAGAAGCTGAAGATGACTATATATGGAGAGAAGTGGGAAGTCACTCTTCTCTATTTCTACTCATTGTTGGACCAACCTTTTCCCCCTGTAATCACACAATCTTCCTTAAGGATTGGAAACTTTGAAGTATTTAGTTCTATCATATATTAATATTAGGAGTCACCTCTACCTCATTGGTGAATGATGGTCAAAAGGCCCCTGACAGCTAACAATGGCAGGACATTCACAGTCTCATAAGGAAGATCATTGCATTTTTAGATAGCTCAATTAGAAAGTTTTTCTTATAAACAAAATTGGCCTCTCTGTAACCTTTGCTTGTTAGTGTTAAGTCTATATCTTAGCTACACAGTGTGCCTGTCCTTCTACCTAACAACCTTTAAAATAATTATCAGATTAAATTTTCATCCCCAAGCCATCTCTTCTCCAGGTTAAACATTTCTAAATGCCTTCAAACTTTTCTGAAACATGACTTCTTGATTTATTATGTTAAACGTTATACCCTATAGTTTTTCTAATGCCTCTATTAAAACAGGATGCCAGTGCTGAAAAGATGTTCTGATCAGCTCAGAATGTAATGGAATAGCAGAAAGATTTGGACAATATGATTTTATTAGTGGCCAGATCACCATGTTGACTCAAGTACACGTTCTGACTCATGTAGAAATAACACTTTTATTACCTGGACAGGGACTATTGTTAAGATGGTTCTTCCCCTTACTGTACTGGTAATAAAGACTTTGTATTGTATTTATTCTAGTAAAATTCTGTGCATATCTAGACATACAATGATATTCCTTCTATATAGATTTCTATGCTCTTGGGAAACCACTACCTTTCCCACTTGGAAAATTTGGTTTTACAGAGCTAAAAATTTTGAGCTTTTGACTTTCCCATTTTCCTTGAGGCATATTCCTTCAGAAACTCTCTGCTATATAAGATTATACATAACTTTTTGCTTAAATTTTAAACATCTCCTTTCACAAAGTCCAATAAATGTACCAATTTTTTCTTTCTTTGAGATACAAATTCTGACATGCCATTATTACTTTCTTGCAGGGATTCTGTCACTTCTCCATTACCCAAGAATTCTTCCTTGCTACTTCAGAATATCAGTTCCTCTTTTTGCTTCCTCTGTCTTCTCTAAGTTGAAAATGCCAACAAAATAAATCAAGAATAAGTTCTGCTTTTACAGGAATTAAACTCATAGAAGACATATGGAGAGTTGTGGTACAAAATTATTAAAATATAGTGTCTCTGCCCACTTTATAACCCATATTATAAAAAACATGGCTTATATCATCCATATGATTAAGTCACTTGTATTACAGTAGATTACTGAAAGGAAATTCTCAACTATATGTCCAACTTTAAGTTTTAATGTTTCCAAAAGCATATGTAACTCTTTAACAGATAGCTCTACTTTTCTACTTTCTCTATTTGACTTATTCTGAACAATAGTAATCTCTCATTGGTACATTCCAATCAAGAATTCAATGTCAATGAGTGTGAGTGATATTTTAGAACATATTTATCTCATTAAAATTCTCTGATTACATTGTCTAGCATGTACTTTTGAATATTCAGCCTTATACTTTTTTTTTTATCTCGTATTTCCCCTTTCTTAAACTCTTCTGCCTTTTAGTAAGAGAGCCTAGAAGTTGAAGTTCACTTTGCCTATCTTTATTTCCTTCTTTGTTTTATTTTATGAGGCATAGGATAGTAAACAGAACATTTAACAGGATAGCTAAAGTTCTTTGTTCCAGTCACAGTTTTGCTTGAAACTGTAAAAAACAGAAGTCACTAGTGTCTATAAGCCTTAGTTTAATCATTTATGACACAGTAGTTGACATGTGCCTAGGTGATCTCTAAGTTTTCTCCCAGTTCTACAATCACTGGAGATGACTAGCTAAGTTGGCTCTGTAATTTTCCAAAGTGTGATATCTCTCTAAGAGATATTCATAGTAGTCCACTGGATATTGATAGTTAGACATTCACTGAACAATCTAAATGCCAGGGCATATAGAAGACTTGCTTTTGATTAACAGAAGCCTCAGCTGGAATTCATTCCACCTTTCATTTCTTGCTCAATTATGTAGGTGATTAACATAAATAAAACTTAAGGTTATGACACTCATTAATGTTTTCAAAACTTTACAAGCACGGAGGATTTAAAATTATATTTTAAAATTATGAGATGGCTATAATAAGGAGTAGGGCAAATCAAATTTTCAATTTTCTACACTCTTTATGTAAATTGAAGAAAAAAGTTCTACTTCTCCATCCTTAACAACTAAGGCTCATTTTAAGATTGGTTATATAAATGTAGGTACACTTTAATGAAGCAAGGATACAACAACAGGAAAGTGCACTGTAGGCTTCAAAAAGATGGGTAGCAATATCCAGTCTTTTAGAATCCACAATTTGTAAGTTGTTCACCAAAGCTAATTTATGCAAATGTGGTATAACAACTGAAAAAAGAAAAAAAAAAGTTACATTTTTATCCAAAACATGCATACAAAACACTGATACACTTTTTAAATCACTTATCATTTTAACTTACACAATTTCATTTTAATTGTAGTTGATTTCAAAAGATTACCCACATGCTATGCTTGTTTTTTCTTACTAAGGAAGAAAGTATGTTTTTCAAAATAAAAAGTGATTTGGGAGAAACAGATTATAGCACTGTCGCTATTACCTAATTATGAGGATGTATACAGGTCATATGGCATTGCTATAATTCAGTTTCCCAATTGAAAAATGAAGGCAAATAAATAAATATAAACAACCTATTGCTTGTGTTATTTATCCTTACTAACATTTATTTATAAAAATAAAATATTACCATTAAATATAGTATGCTTTTCTTTTTCAAATTACTTCACTTCTTTATAATATTATTTATAATACTATTAAATTCTTTTTGGAGACAAGGTCTCACTCTGTCGCCAGGCTACAGTGCAGTGGCGTCATCATAGCTCACTCTGTAACCTCAAACTCCTTGTCTCAAGCAATTTTCCCGCCTCGGCTTTCCCAGTAGCTGGGATTACAGGCATGAGCCACTGTGCCTGGCTAAATTTTCTATTTTTTGTAGAGATGGGGGGTCTTGCTATGTTGCTCAGGATGGTCTTGAACTCCTGACCTCAAGCAATCCTACTGCCAACCTTATCCCAAAGTGCTAGGATTATAGGTGTGAACCACCACACCTAGCCTCAAATTCTTAGTGAAGACCAATATCAAACAGTACTGGTAGCTGAGTTTTAAAGTCATTCAATGAGTTTAATACCCTCAAACAATAATGTAAAATTTTAACCTACTGCTAAATATAAGTGATGGCCCAAGAAACAATAATCAATTCAGTAGCAATGAGTACTCCTCATGCCTTAGATTGTGTTTTCTGAGTATCATTTCCCACTGAAACCAGAGTTCTTTGAAGAAATGACTTCCGGGTCAGTGATTATTAAATTGTTGATCATCTAACCAATCACACAAGCCCCTTCTAGTGTCTGTTTGGTTGGGAAACACAAAACAACCAGTCATAAGCACAGATTGCTGACCTACTGTAGTGATTTCTTTCTTGTTTGCATTGAGTTTGTATATAAATAAAAGCTACAATCTTTTCCTGGAAAAACTCCTGCTTCCTAAATAAACTAAGGCTATAATCACAACTTCCACGCTTAACTCAGTAAATGACAAAAAATCCCACAAAACCTTAGAATAACAATAGCCATATTTAGGGGGCTTTTTGACTTGTCAAAATTAATGACATATTTCAGAGGACGCCTAGAAAAAATTAGGAGACCAAAACTCCAAACATGCAATTGTCAGCTTCATTAATCAGCATGCTGATCACTCAACAAAACAGTGACTCTAAGATGGTCTCTCTCAAAGACTCTCTAGTTCATCTCTGGCCAAACCTTCTGAAAGTTATCTTCCTGGAGCTTTATCTATTTATGCATGGCCCCTTTATTCCTTCTGCTCCTGAGTTCTCTGACCTTTCTTTAGTGGTTTTCCCAGAAACACAACAATCACACTGTACAAAATCCCCTTAAAATTGCTTGACTAGAATATAATTCTACAGAAGTTAATTTAAACTCTAGTCTAGAGGCAGTTAAAGGCTATAATTTAGGATCTTCCTAATTCTCAGCAAGACAAGACAAAGATTTACTGCAGAATTTAAGATTTCACTACATATGTATTGTCCTAGCTTCCATATTTGTATTAATTAATTTGCTTAGTTATAAACTAATATTATAGTTAAAAGCAGAAGATTAAACATCAGGAGAAAATTTAGTAATAATAAGCTAGGTGGACATAATTCCTTTTTTTTTTTTTTTTTGGGTAAAAGAGACAGGATCTCACTTTGTTACCCAGGCTGGGGTGCAGTAGCTATTCACAGGTATAATCATCGCACAAGATAGCATTAAACTCCTGGGTTTAAGTGATGCTCCTGCCTCAGCCTCCTGAGTAGCTGGGACTACAGAGGCATATGTCACTGCACCCAGCTTATATGGACATAATTCTAAAACTGACCTTCAGTAGCAAAGAAAAAAAGAAAATATTTAACATAATGTTACTGCAGACGCCCTTTTCTTCGGGGAAGGCTGAACAAAGATTTAAAATTACAAGTAAAATAAAGATAAATCAATAGGAAATTTTATATAACTGTAAATTTCAGAAAAATGTCAAAAATATTCTGGGGTAGATCCAATAGTTGTAAAGGTAATCTTTTTAATAAATGGGCTCAGACCTGAAATATGAAACTTTGGGGAAAAAAATCTGAAATGGAAGATTGCCACATTAGAAAATCTCTGATATATGACCAAACATTTTCAAGGAGTCCTACAAAGTAAAATATTACTAAAAAACAAAAAAATGACTGTATACTGTTCCAGATAAAACAATTGGCCCTTGAAGTAAAATCAAGACCAAAAGTGTTATGATAATTAGGAACTGAGAAAGAGGCCAGTTGCGGTGGCTCATGCCTAAAATCCCAGCACTCTGAGTGGCTGAGGAAGGAGGATGGCTTGATGCCAGGAGTTCGAAACCAGCCTGAGGAAGAGCAAGACCCTGTCTCTACAAAAGATAGAAAAATTAGCTGGGTGTGGTGGCACATGCCTGTAGCTATTTGGAAGGCTAAGGCAAGAGGATCACTTGAGCACAGGAATTTGAGGTTGCAGTGAGCTATGATGATGCTACTGCCCTCTAGCCTGGGTGACAGAGCAAGAGCAAGACTCTTGTCTCCTCCCAAAAAAACCAAAAAACCAACAAAAAAAACCTGGTAAAGAACAAAGGGCCCCACTGAAAGAATTAATGTCTTATATTTGCTAAGAGATACAGGGGCAAATATCTAAGTATCCAAAATGTCACTCTAAGGGAGAAATTACCACCCAGAAATTCTCTGTCCTTCCTCTCAACTCCCAAAGTTAATTGTCTGTATTTAACAGATGGATAACAATATAGCATTCTTTTTGATATGGTTTCTACTTTACTGTTTATCTTATTAATATAGGACATTAAATTCCTCAGTGTAGGCTGCGAGCGGTGGCTCACGCCTGTAATCTTAGCACTCTGGGAGACCAAGGTGGGCGGATTGCTCGAGGTCAGGAGTTTGAAACCAGTCTGAGCAAGAGCGAGACCCTGCCTCTACTATAAATAAATTAATTGGCCAACTAACATATATAGAAAAAAATTAGCCGGGCATGGTGGCACATGCCTGTAGTCCCAGCTACTAGGGAGACTGAGGCAGTAGGATTGCTTGAGCCTAGGAGTTTGAGGTTGCCGTGAGCTAGGCTGACGCCATGGCACTCACTCTAGCCTGGGCAACAAAGTGAGATTCTGGCTCAAAAAAAAAAAGAAAATTCCTCTGTGTAAAGCTCTAAAACAGGGGTCCTCAAACTTTTTAAACAGGGGGCTAGTTCACTGTTCCTCAGACCGTAGGAGAGTGTGGTGCACATTCCACACATGTGAACTGTGGGCCTGGGACAAGTCGGCTGTTAAACAGGACAGGCAGCGCAGCAAAAACACCTGGCAGGTGGATAAATGTCCTCGGCAGGCCGCATGTGGCCCGAGGGCCGTAGTTTGAGGATGCCTGCTCTAAAGCAAAGAGAAGCTGCTTGACTAGGAACCAAATACCAAAGAAAAAAAAAAGACTGATTTTTGTCTTAAAAAAAAAAATCTGGTTGTGGCAAAATGTGAAAGATGACATAAGACATATGGTTTTATAGTAAGTTGTAAGAGGCTTCAGGGAAGTGTTTTACTTGATCTATTTGGGCAGTGTGGATCTCTAACCTAAATTTTTCCCCAAACCAACCTTTAACTATTAATTTGTGACCATTATAAGAAAGTTCCTTTCTTCTCTCTTATGCTACTCCTACAAACTTAATAGGTAAGTATCTACTCTATATTTTTAGATATTTTAAAAAATTCTAGAAAGAGACATTAAGATTTGAGAAAGATACATTTGATTTGAGAAATAACTATAGTTTCAGAATCATTGTGGACAAAATACTCCAAAGATATAACAAAATAATTGAAGCAGAGTCGATAAGAATCCAGGCTGATTCTTCCCAGATTATCACAAATCTTCCTTTTGAATGTACATAAAACGGTTAGATCATATTCCAGGGAGGTTTTAACTCAACACATGGCACACACTGAAAGACCCACTGCCTATTTTTAGCCTATTCCTTAATCTAGGAGCCTGTTAAAGGATCCAATTTTGTACTAGAAATCAAACTGCCTGAAGTGTCCCAACTTGTGGCCCTCTCTAGAAAATGCCAAATTGCTAAAAATAAAAGGGCTAAATTATAGCAGTGACATGACATTTGGAGTAATAATTTTGGGGTCCTTTGGTGATACCCAAAGAATTATTGGCATAAAGGTTGAGGCAGTAAAAGAGATACTGTAAAAACTAGAAAATATTTAGCAGATAATCATGCAGATCATTTAAAAGATCAATAAGCCATGAATTAAAACAAGTGATGTATCATGTTGAGCGGTATTTTAAGTGGGAGAAATGCGTATTTTCCTAAGAACATGTCTAGAAACACAAACATTTCCATAAAAATAAAAAAGAAACTCTTAAGTAAAAGGCAGCACAATATTTTGCTATCAATAGTTATTATGAAATGTTTCTAAAATAACTTGAAATTAAGTTCATGAGTTCCTTTTCATGTCTTACAGCAATCAGTACATAGTATAAGAAATTACCCACTAATAGCTATACTGATCAATTCACAATAACTAACTTGTTTTACATTCAGCTTTCAGTTTATGAAAGATGCACAGCAAGGCTTTAACACATGACAAATCCTCAGGAAGCTTTTGGCTTTGATCTTACATTACAATTCAGAGAAAAAAGAAAGAAAACTGCAACTTACACTCATCTCGGAACCTGGGTTCTGCATTAGGCCCAACTCTACCAAATGTTTTTATGATCTCTGTATGCAAAGAATGTTGGTCTTGATACTGAGGATCTTCCAGGAAAGAAGCCAACTGCATTTTCACTCTTTCCAGCAACTTAAAATTGGATAATGTACAGTCATTTTATAGAATATTAAAAACTGAGTAGCATCGTTAAAGTGAAAGATACACATTAAACATGGCTTGCGGCAGTGGATTTAATCGATTTATATCCCCATGATAGTAGAAATTTGGAATTAAACAGTTATTTAATTTTTTGGCTCAGAAAAGGTTTCACATTTTTTTGAGGCTTGTTAATTCTTAATTGTTTTTTTAAAATACAAATATTCCCTGACAAACTGTAAAAACAAAACAAAAAAACTCCTACCATATTTAGGGAAAAGTAGATATTTATGATGATTTTGTATCTAAATTATAATTCTTAAATCACAGTGGTAAGCTACCCAATTATTCACCTTCCAAAAGCAATGAGTCATTAATGACTTATATCTTACTCACATTTCCCTAAAAGACATTCTTATTTTAGGATTTAAGAACATGTTGAAATTCTGCCAAGACTGCAAGCTTTGCAAAATAATGTGTTTTTTTCCTGTTACTTCACCAGTGAAATATATAAGTGAAAAAAAGGGAAAATGTTCTTTCTATAACTAACCAAATGGTTTAACTTTTGTTATAAAAAAATCTATAAAGGAATTTTATTAAAATTTTTCTTTTTTTGGTAAAATAGGTTTTCCATTTAAGTGACTAGGTAACATGTCCATAAATAATTTATTTTCTAATCTATAGCATTTTTTATTTGTATATGAACATATCCAATTATAATAACAAAGAATACAATTCTGATACTAATTTTGAGATGTGTCTTATAGTTAACATTGCAGATAGAACCTAAAAAGTTTGAAATGAAATCATAGTTTCCAAATTAAAATATACCTTCAGGGAGAAAGACCTTGGTTATCTCCTGAAACAGGCAAGACAGAGGGTTTGCACAGTAATATACTCTGTAACAAGATGATACCAGTCCACTAAATGCCTTTACAGCTTGGTATCAATGACACAGTTATCATAATACAGGTGCTTTCTCACCTCATTTGTAAAACTAAGATGGATTTGTGTTCCTAATGTTATCTGGCAAAATATTCTTCAAATTTGTGCACACTGGCAATCAAGAATTTATGTAGATTGGCCATAAGTCTACTGAATAATAGAAGACCTTGAAACTAAACCTGATTTGAAGGATTACTCAAAACTGCAATATGTAACTAGGCTTAAAATAGAATATCTAAGCACTGGCTTACACTTACTTTTCTAAATGAGAAAAAAAACTAGAGTTTCTATAGGATATGGAAATATATGTTGGTTAGGCTATCATGTTTTCAAATAGTAAGATCTTTCTCTGGCCCATAATTACTACAAAACAAATGAAAGGTATGATGCTTCCTGCCCCCTGCTACCAGGTACATGTATGGTAATGCATCATCATCACCTCAACAATACACAGATATAAATAAATTTCAATTATTTCCTACCTCTCTTTGAATTACTGTTTCCATGATAGTGCCAAAGGCTGGAATTGTGGCAATCCTGACAGAGCTGTTAGAATTAAAAAAGAAAGAAACTGAAACTTTGAGATTAAAAATAAGTATTATTAAAATGCATATTAAAGTAAGTACAAGGTAAATATACTGTATTAGTCTCTAGCAATGACAAAGTAAATAAAAAAAAAAGCAGACCAAGAAGAATGCTCAAAAAGACAGACAGGATAACTTAAGGTCGCAGTCTGTGAAACTCACAATTCAGGATCACTGGACAAGGTAACAAGGGCCGGAGCAACCCGCTTGTCAACTAACGCTTCACTCATGCCTCGAAGAGTCAGCTGTAAACCAGTCAACATGCAATAAAAAATGGTTTGGTAAACTGGAATGAGAACTGGGTTAGCTGTGACTGAGGATGGGCAGGCAGACTCATTGGCCTTTCTTGGTTTAGTCATCCACACGAGACATTAAAATGTTAAGCCTTTGGTTCATGCTATTATGCTTACTGGTAACAACCTGTTAGTGAGATTAGCAGAGCATCCTTTCTTGGCTTGAAAGAAGTAGTCCATCAGCCTGTTTTAGGTTTTGGAAATGTTTATTGAGCAGTGATACTATTAATACTACTATTTAATATATAGCTTCCACATTAGGCTTACAGTTAGGGTTCATTTAAAAAAATATGATATATGAATAATAATATGATAAAGTTTAAAATCAAATAAGCATAACCCAATTTTATTGTTTTAAAGAGTCTTCAACAAATTTAAAAGCTGATGGCTATTTCTTGACAGGCACATTTTGAAAGGGATGCCGAATGTAAAAGGCAGGGACAACACTTACATTTCAGGGTCACTGGAGAGAGTAATGAGAGCAGGAACAACTCTCTGAGCTACCAGAGTTTCATTCACCCCCTTCACCAACAGCTGATTGGTCAGCGTAGGGGGTATTCACAGGTGATGTATGGAAAGAGCAAACACAGCGTGCCACGGGAAGAAGAAAGGAACAACCAAGAGAAAGAGAGAAAACACAAAAGCAAAACCAAAATTAGAAGCTAAGCAAATACTGCTACTAGAATGCTTTACAAAGGCGGAGAATGCTTAAGAGGAAAATAAAGCTTTAATAGCCTAGCAGTCCACAAAAACAGATTTTGTTACCAATCCAATGGCAGTTTGTACTTTTGGTCAAAATAGTCTATGCAATTTCAATGTCAATTAAAATGCAACTTAAAAGAAAACTTTACTTAAAAAGAAAAGAAGCTAAAAAGAAGACACACGTTGGGTTCTATGGTTAAAATACTCAAATGTGGTGTAGTTTTACTATAACCAACAAGGTACAAACTGGGCTGTTTTTAAACCAAACTCAAATGGCTAGCAGCCACTGCTAAACCACTTATATTGTTGTATAGCAAGTAAATTTAAAAGCCACACAGGAAAATTCCCAACTTTCTTTTTGAAGTACAGTGATCTAATGGAGCCTATTAGAAAGTGTTACACTTGGGAATCAGATCTGGGTTCAGATTCCAGTTCTCCACTTATTATCCATGTGGTCTTAGCTATATTATATAATCTCTTAATTCAGTTTTCTCATCTGAAAATGGTGATACTATCATCTACCTCAAAGGACTGTTGTGCTACTGATTTGCATACAACATGCCAAAATACTGTGCCTGACAAAAGAGTAGACATTGAAGAAATGAGAGTTTATTTTGATTACTCCAAGAATATATGACTTGTGATATATTTGGAAAAATAAACTATTTAATTAAAAAATCTTTTTGGTGGTTAACATCAAAACAGTTCTTTGTTTTGCATTTCTCATAAGCTCAAATAAACTTTAAAATAAAAATGATGAGTAGAATTAGATCTCCATAATCTAATCATAAAAACAATTCATTTAGTGGCCAATGCTAAATAGCAAAACAGGTGGGTAATATTGAATGGTATGCATTTTGTTTTATATGTATTACTGAATTTTATGAGTTCACTAGAGAAGTGCAACCGCCTTCTCAATTTCAGAATGTAAGCACATATTCATCCTAAATGCTCACCCATCTGTTCACCTAGTAATTAGAACTAGTCCTCACAGAAGATCAAAGATGCCATGGATATTTTACTAACAAATATTTACCATTGTGGGCTTATGTTAAGGCATTCCTCCTATACAACACATCAGAGAGAGCATAGCTCACTTTATGTGAAGATTCTTAATTGTGCAATAAATCATTACTATTTACCAATGAATTCATTTTAAAATCTAATTCAATATTCTAAAATAATTTTTATAAAAAACTCACAAATAATTAGGCAGGAATAAGATAACAAAGAACTTCTGTTATTTCCTTGAACTTTACAGATGTCAGGAAGAAAGAAATAGGACAATGAAGTTCAAATACTGTTAAAATTTTCTTCTCTGTATCATTTTATAAATAAGATAGCTTAGATTTGAATCAGTAAAGCATATCTTGAAATGTCTGCTATCTTGCACCTGCCAAAATCATTAAAAAAGGGGACAATTTTTCATTGCTCTGGGGTTTTTAAGTTCAATTTCATTATTAAGCTAGATAATCAGAAAGTAAATTTAAGAGCTATCAATTATTACGCATACACAATATATCATTTGATCTTTATACTTGATAAGTACAAATATAATATTATCATTATTTTAACAGATGAAGAAACTGAGGCTTAGAGAAGTTAAGTAACTTGTCCAGGGTTTTAAAGCCCAAGTAGTGGAGCTAGACAATAAGCTTAGTCTTATCTGACTTATAGTCCATGCCTTCTTTGAGTTGTGGTCTAATGTTACATGCTCAATTTCCTTATGATTGATATAAAAAATAGTTATATGAAGTTCTCTTATACATCATTTGGGAAATTTACCATGTCACACTAGGACAAATTCTCCTTATAAAATAATATCGTTAATTTGCTACTTCAAAATGTAATATATGGCTTATTAAACAATGAGAATAATATTATTGATTGGGTTCCCCCTTTTTGTACTGCCATCAAACTAAGCTAAATTTAAAGTTTGATTTCTCAAGTACATTAGGTTCCTAGTATATGCATTCTTTAATTTAAAAAGCAAGAACAGTTTCTGGTCTTGCTTTTTTAAAAAAGAATTTATATTAAGTGTCCTGTTTTCTATGTTTTTATTTCAAATTAATTCATTTTCAGGGGAAGCAGGCATAATTCTAAATTATGAAGCATTCGTATCAAAATAAATCTTATGAACAATATTTACTCTTTCAATACAATTTTGTTCAAAATAAGGATCATTGACAAAAAAGGAAATTTAATTTCTTCTACTGATAACTTTTTTGACATGCTCAGTGAAATTTTTGTCATAAATGAATTCGAAAAATATTGAAATAGTCTCTCAAACTAGATTCAGAAGTTCATAATCAACCTGAGAGAACACTGAAAACTGCTTAAGCATAGGTATAGCTTCCACACCGGCACTGACAGCAAATATAGAAACCAAAACCAGACAAAAGCCACATATAAGAAATAAGGCAGAAAAACAAAACAAATAAAAAATCCCAAAACAAATAAAAAGGGAGGATGCCTCATTTTATTTACTTAAATTACTTTCATTTATTAAGGTATGCTTTACCAGTGCATATGTAGATTTTAGAGACAAAGGAAAAGAAATAGCTTTTATGGTCTTACAATAAAATCCTATGAAGAGAGTGTATTAAAGAAATAGCTCTTCATTTAAAATGACTTTTTTCTTTTGTGGGGGAAGATTCTTCTTTCATTGTAATGATCCTTTTTTAGCATATTGAATAATGAAAAATATAACCAGAAGGAACTTGACTAGACATAAAACCAAACTGTTACTTTGGCATTCACCTTGACAAAGAGCCTGTGATTACAGCTTTTTTGATCACATGTATGTAATAACTGAGGGAACATGGAAAAGGATTTTCAACTTCCTGACAACAATGGAATTTTCTTTAGAGTCCACAAATATAATTTATATATTTAAAAATTTTAGAAGGCATATATTTTAAATACATTAGTGCCCTTTCATTCCAATTGCAATTTATCTTAAATTGCGGACTAATTTTGAAATTCAGGAAGATTTGAATTCTTATGGAAATAAATGCTTTAATATACTTTAAGGATCACATACATATTAGGGACAATTTTAGTTAAATATATGTTCCCTATACTATTATATTATTTTGTCAAATAATACCATGGATTAAAAAATAATAATAGTTAATATTTATTATAAGCATTTATTATGTTCCAGACACTGTTTTATGGGCTTTACAAGCATTAATTCATTTAATATTAACAAAAATCCTTTGAGATGGATACTTTTTATTATCAAATTCACCTTGTAGATGAGGAAACTAAGGCACAGAGAAGTTCAAACTTGCCCAAATAATTTATAAACTCACTAGGTCGCAGAGATGGAAACTGAACCCAGACAGCCTAGCTCCATGGCAAGACTCAAAATCAACAAGAAACAGAAAACCAATTTTATTGCTCAAATAAAATTCTAAAAATATTTCTATATAGAAAATATACTAGGCTATGACATAATTTGCTATATGATGGGTACAAAAGATAAATATTTTAATTTTCATACTTAACTTGGGTAAGTGGCAATTAAAAAAAGTCTAGGTAAATTATATGAACAATCTCTTTCCTTTTATAAGTCTATGGGCACTTAATGTATTTGGATGTTATTCTACATATGATATGTGAGGGAACAGTGAAGTTGGAGTAATCAACAAAATAAATATTTCCATAATTACAATAATTGATTTTCTGATAGTACTGATGAATCCAACTACATTTTATAACTTGAAAAATACCTCGTGTAGTTTTAATTTATTTTAGTAGTCATTTACCTTAGTAAATAGAAAAGTACAGTCAGAAAGATTTATGTAGGATAGTGATTAAAATAAGATTTAAAAGAAAATTTGGAGATAGTGCTGATAATAAAATAACATTCAAGGAACCAGTAAGGCTAGGAAACATTCTTAAATATGTAAAGTTAAATTTCTGCCCCATCACACAGTACACAACTAGACACTGTTCAGTGCCATAAAATATATATCAACATAATATGGTATGCAAAGCCTTTAAAAAAACCAAAAATAGTCCCTTCTCCCTCTTCTAAAAAAATCATATAATTGGAACCAACAGAAGCACTTGTTTACATACCTCAAACATTCTAGCAGCAGTACACCTCACAAGTGCTGAAGTATGGACAACACCATACCATAAAACCGTTAATAGTAACTCATGGTATGCTGGATTTGCACTAGAAGAAAAAAATCAATGTTAAAATTGAGAGCCACAGTGCCTTGCTGGTAGTACTTAAAAACTATATTTCAAAGGAATATGAATGATAAAAAATACTAACAGAACATATGGAATTACTTTCCATGGTTAAACAGGTCACAGCTAAGATTCTTTTAAAGTCTATGGGCAATTATACAACACAAACTTTTAGCATATTCAGAAGTCACACTGTTAGCTTCTCTAAGCATTTGCAGTTGTGACAGAAATGTCTACTCTTTTTAATAACATGCAAGCTAACATTATAAAGACAGACACATAAAATTTATCTATGAGGAAAAAAAGACCACTGGACTGAGTCAGATGGGTAAGTTGCAACGTCTGTGGCTCTTAGTTTCTACATTTATAAAAACTGAGGAAGCAGTACATGTCCTATTTATGTCATATGGCTGTTATAGGATCAAATAAGGTCAACTCCAACCATCTATATGGGAGGGTATTTTTGGCTGTGAAGCCTATCTAGATCTAAGGTGATATTATTAATAAATGCATGAGCCTGTTTTTAGTAAAGACTGAGATAAAACTACTTTAGCAGCCAGATGATGTGGTTTTATGTAGGACTAAGCAAAACAAATAGAAAGAAAAAGGAACCTAATGAGCTGGCTTTCCCTTGGAGTTTCTTTTTTAGTTCTGGGAAACTAACTTTTCTTCAAATCTGTACTTGATTTTGTTTCTCCATCTGCTTCAGAGAAAACATATGTCCTCACCCTTTCCCCGATCTTTAAAAATTACAATATATTGATTATAAAATAGTAAGAATGTCCAAATAAGCAAAACCAAAAAACAAGCCAAAAAACAAAAAAAATTAAGTCTCAAGACCAAAAGAATAGGTGTGTATGCCAATCCTTTTAGACTTAAAATATATACTTTATAAATCCAATTTAGAGACTTCATATATGCCTTTTAAAAAACTATAAGCTGTTATTTTTTTACCCTAGTTCCACAAAAGAAGCCTTCAGGCTATCAAGAGGAGCATGAGATAATGAAAGCAGGGTCATTACATCTTCTAAAAATCCAACTAGCAGTTTTCGGTCTTCTTCCTACAAAGGAAAAATAGTGATAATGAATTTCCAAACAATCAAGTAGAAATAAGTACCATAACTACCCATCTATAATTAGAAATGTTACCAAATAAGGGGAAACTATCCTAATTTGAAAGCCATTTTAATTAAATATATATTTTTATTTTTTATTTTAACATATTATGGGGGTACAGTGTTAAGGTTATGTATATTGCCTATGGCCCCCCCTCCCCCTTGAGTCAGAGCTTCAAGCGTGTCCATCCCCCAAATGCTGCACATCTTACTCATTGTGTTTATATAATATACCCATCCCCTCCTTAAAGATATTTATTAAGCATTATCTATGATTGGAATGGTATGAGGACAAAGATTATCTTGACTCTTTGATTTAGAGTTGTGCTGTCAAATATGGTAGCCATTAGCCACATATGATTATTTATATGTAAATTTAAATGAAAAAGTATGTAAAATGAAAGATTCAGTTTCTTGGTTGCACTAGCTATAATTAAAAGACTTCATAGCCATATGTGGCTAGTGCCTATCTTATTGGACAACTCAGATACAGATTATTTCTATCACTGCAGAAAGTTGTACTGGATGATCTTAATTTAGAACAATAAAAGGTATAACCTTTTATTAAAATTTACTTTATCAATTTTATTTCCAATTAATTTTGGCTCTATATAGTTAAATACAAATTACTAAAAGTTATCCCCTTAATAGTAGAAAAGTGATTTCCAAGAAATTATTTTTACAATATCCTAGTGGTGAAAAACCACACACTGGGTGAAATATAGACTACTGTGTTCTTTAAAGAAGTATTTGTACCCTTTGATTAAAAAAAATGTATTTTTCAAACTTTCTTCAATGAATCACTATTACTTTCATAATCAGAAAATATTTCTTTCTTTTTAAATAGCATTCTTAAGAAGTATGCCATAAAAAGCAAATCTGTTAAAAATAAATTAGGAGAATTAAAAAAATAACTTTCGGCGAGGTGCAGTGGCTCTTGCCTGTAATCCTAGCATTCTGGGAGGCTGAGGCAGGAGGATTGTTTGAGCTCAGGAGTTCGAGACCAGCCTGAGCAAGATTGAGACCCTGTCTCTAGTAAAAACAGAAAGAAATTAGCTGGACAACTAAAAACCAGGCATGGTGGCACATGCCTGTAGTCTCAGCTACTCGGGAGGCTGAGGGAGGAGGATCACTTGAGCCTAAGAGTTTGAGGTTACTGTGAGCCAGCTGATGCCACGGCACTCTAGCCCAGGCAACAGAGTGAGACACTCTGTCTCAAAGAAAAAAATAACTTTCTACATTCAATTAATCTAAATCTATAAGTCAAGGGAATCTGACATTCTATCAGGAAACAAATATATAACAAATTAAACTCAAGCTGTCAGTAGGAACATAGGAGGTCAATAATAAATAGCTTTTGAATGTATCAGTAGATCCATGAGAAAGACTGTATTACCACCTGCCTTTTTATCCTACATAGTCAGGGTAGTTTAGAATGAGGCAGAGAGAAAGGATTGACAAAAGCAATGATTAACCTGAGAAAAGGATGAATATAGCAGTGTTAAGACATGGCAGTTTACTTAGTCTACTTAGTAAAAAGGCATAGATACTGCTAAACCAGCATCAGGGCAATGTTGGAAAAGAGACTTCACCCATTTGTTGCCTACTATGTCAAACATAAAGCAGATATAACATTGGAAAATAAATTGGAAATCTGAAAAAAAACAAAAAAAACCCAACTAAGAGTGAAATAAGAGCTATAAAATAGACTTTTAAATGAGCATGAATTCTTTTGATTTTTGAAAATTTACTATTAATATAATCTTATTCTTCATTTTTGAAATCTCAAAAACAAGTAATACTGCTTATGTATTTGACTCAAGATAGTTTTTGTTTACTAAAGCAAATAGGACTGTGATTTATCCTAACAAAACACTCCTAAAATGAGAAATACTGGCAATCTGTGATTGCTACCTCAAGGTACTAAACATTTTGTAACAAGCTGAAATGTTTTTATCTCTTTAGAGATATGAATAACATATTTAGACTTCATAGTGACTCAAAACACATGTCCTTATTCCTTTATTCAACGGATAAAGGGCCTACTATGAGCCAAGCCTTGTACTTGGTACTTTATTATGCTTTAAAATGCTATTTATGGTCAAAAGACAAATACTAACAAAACGTTGGAAGGCTAAAAAAGAGAGAAATATTGACTTAACACTCATGCTGGAAAAGATTCCAAAATTAAAAAGAGGAGAATGGTATGCATACTGTTGTGCCTGGCACTGTGATAGGGCTTGATATCCTTGATCTCCATGAATTTAAGAACAATAGAGACAATCTATTAATGTACATGACTTAAAATATCTTACACACAGACAGTAGCCATATTACAAGGTAGTCTTAGAAACTAGTATTGAAAAGTAAAATTTAAAAGAATACTGTACTACTTTAACAGAATTGGAACTTCTACTACAAGGTAATATATGATACTGTAGAATTATATTTTAATACTATAAGATGATTCAAATTTGTTTTGAAAGAAGAGCGCAATAAATACGAATTGCTGTACTTTGAATTCAAAGGGCAAAAGAAAGAAGTTAGGTATTAGCAGGTAAAAATTCAGGAAACCTGCTCTCACATTCTAATTTGTAAAAATGCTTTAACCTGAGTTTGTATTTCCATTTTACTGGTGAAACTGCCTCATACTTAAAAATTACTAGTATGCCTTGAGACACATCATATATTATTTACTTAAAACAATGTTAAGTAGAGTGTGGTGGTCTGTTACATTGGTGGCCACCAATGAACTGCATCTACTGGTTCACACACTAGCTTAGTTCCCCGTCCTCTTGAATCTGGGCTGGGCCTGGGACTATTTAACCAACAGACTGCAGAAGAAATAATATGCTAATTCCAGGCCTAAGCCTTAGCCTAGCAGATTAGGCTTTTGCATTCTTGGTAGACATCAGCCACCATGTCTGGCTCTGCTGCTCCAGAGGCACTGTGGAGAGATAGAATCCCTGAGAGTACATGAGTTCAGCCATTCCAAATGAGATCCTATCAACCAACCCATTTAACCCATTTAACACAGCAATAGGAATGACCACTAGCACAACCAGCAGAAGAGGAAGCTAAGCGAGGCCCAGACTGCAGAATCATGAGCAAATAAAACAGTTACAATAAGCCATTATGTTTTGGAGAAGTTTGTAATGCAGTAGCAATTAAGAATAATAAAGTACAAGTTGAGCTTTCCTAATTTGAAAATCCAAAATGCTTCAAAATCTGAGAATTTTGGGCACCAACCATGATGCCACAAATGAAAGCCTGTCGTTTGCCGTGGCTGTTAACAGGTATTTTGGTGAGGCTACGGTGCTTAGTTACACTGAACACATTTTTTTCACTGTATTAATGGTATGTCATTGTTCTTACTGTTAAGTACTTACGTGTGAATAAGTGTAAGAAAATGACTGTTAATTGGTAGCATATAAATTCAGAGTTAGAAATGATAATGATGTGATGTCAAACAACCACAGATTGTCCATATGATGGCTGAGATAGTGACACCTTTGGTTCAAAGTACACAAACTTTTGTTTCATGCACAGAATTATTAAAAATATTGTATAAAATTACCTCCAGGCTACACATATAAGGTATATATGAAACAAATACATTTTGTGTTTAGACTTGGGTCCCATCCCTAAGGTATCTCGGTCGGTCGGTATGGGTGTGGGTGTGGGTGTGGGTGTGTGTGGGTGTGTGTGTGTGTGTGCTCGCGCACGTGTGCGCGAATAGTCCAAAATCTGAAACACTTTTGGTCCCAAGCATTTTAGATAAGGGCTACTCAACCTATGTTATTAAAAAGTACTTTGCTAAAAGTGATGATAAACTATAGCATTTTATAGTTTAGTTTTCCTAACACATGTGCTTTGTTATTTATGAAAAACTCATCACGAAACACAAAGAAACCCTGCTAAATAAGTGCAATCTAATACTTCTAAGAAAACATAAAAAAGCTCACAATCTCTAAATTTATTTGTTCAACTCTGACCTTTATTATTCAAATATGATCTCCATTATAAATTATTTATGGAATAAAATAAATAAATTTTGTTTTCCTTTATGGGTAATAATTCACTTATATTCACACACATTCAGAAGACATATAGGTATTTTTCAAAATAGAAAGCACTTTTACTAGAGAACAGGAATTTTTTCCTTACCTGAATATAACATGTAAGGACTCCTGTTGCATAAATGGGAACTGTAGCTTTAGTGAGGACCCCATTTCCTGCTGAGGAATCTAAAATCATTAAAATAATTTAAAAAATGTGAGTATATTTTAAGTGTAAAGAAAAAAAATCAGAATGATTATAACAGTTTACTAGGTTACAAATAAATATTATCATTACTTTGAAAAATATTGTGATTAACACTCATTTCTACTGGTTGGTCTAAAATACAACTTAATGCTTCTTGAAGAGCCATTAAGCATAGACATTTAAAGAAGTTTAGTAACTAACATGAGATGTTATATTCCTATTTCCATAATCAGAAATCAGGGCTTTCTTTAAGAGTCTCTGAAGTGCCCCCATAGGCAGGTCTTCCTAAAATTTTATGCCTTCAATCTTCAGTGTTTCAAATGTAAAGGTACTCAGCTAAAAGCTGGCATCTAGATAAATGTTATTTAAGCTGCTTCCAGATAGGAGATACTATCTAGTTTCTAGAACTAGGCTAATTCCTGAGTCCCTCCCGTACCTTCAGTAGGGTTTTTAGACAGACAGAGCCCTAATTATTTTCACGGAGGAGGAAGGAATCAGCCTAGTAGAGATTGTGTGCCCTGTAACTATTATATGAGACTTTCTTAAATAGCATCTGTTTAAATTTAAAAAGAAAAGTTCCAGAGATGATAATTATAATTTCCAGCAATAAGAGCTATTTACTGATCATGAGGCCCTGTGTTAAGTGCTTTATGTTTGCTGTTAATGCTCTCAATAATTTTTGTTACTATATTTCTTTTGATATATGGTTACAAATTATTTTCCAAGAGTAGTACATAAAGAAATTGAGTTGAAAAGATGTATTTAACTGTTCTGAAGAAGTTATAGCAAAAAAAAGAGGAAAGTCCATTTTTACATTAATTAGTATTTGAGGCTTGTTTATTATCTTGGTAAGAATAAATTTTTCTTGGGTGGAGTACTGACATCAGTTGAGTATGACAATGGTAGTAGAGAAATAAATCTGAGGCTAGGAACATAAGCTTAAACTGAATTCATAGACATGGACTATATATACAGGAGTCAATAATCACTTCTTATTTGAATAGCTAAACATTCATGAGTATTTAATTTTTTTTCACTAATTTATTATCAGAATTAATAATAAACTAAAACAGATAATAACAATGATTTAGATATTCTAAACATCAACCCATTAAAAGGCTATTGAAAATAACCTTTGAGAAGAATTTTTCCAAAAAAAAAAAAAAAATCCCATCAATGCTTTCAAATTTAAAAGAATTCATTTTCTAATTACCTCTGAGGATGGCCAAAAGTGGAGTTTTCTAGACCATTCAAATCAAATCACTAAGGTAGGATTTAGATAAGAATTATCTATACATTAAAAATCAAGTTAAAAATGGGGGAGTTCTATATATTTCTTCTAACATTTTCCACAATTTATCCTAGAAACTAAAAAATAATACGGACACGAGATTTACACCTAAAAAAGTTCTTAGGCCAATAGTGGTATAACTGGATTCCTTTAGACAGATTACTAAAAACTATCAACAAAGAGCCTAGAATTGCCCATTCAACCCTGTAGTTTCTTTAAAATCTCATGTTTCATTTTAAAAACATGTATACATATATTTATTGTCCATTATATTTCTTTTAATTTTTAAAAGTTTTATATAACTAATTGTGAATCAAACACAGCTTATTTTATCTTGAATATACTACTTCAGACCTCCAAGGGTATAAGTTCCCAGTTTGAGAAGCTTAGTCTTAGGTCAATCTGGTTACAATGAAGGTTGATATTTACAATCAAATTGATAAGGATTAATCTCACTACCATTTTATGGGAAGGATATTAGATGTGATTAGATATTAGTTATAAAACCAAGAACTCCATCATATAAATTTTCCTTTTCAATTGTACTTGCTAGTTTGTTTATACAATTTACATATAATGAATATAGTATTTTTCTCGAGTAAAGAGATTCCATTGTTTTTTAAAATAATAATGAACTTACCAATGTTTTCTTCAGACAGTCTTAAAATCTCCTGGAACTGAGGTTTTACCTAAGCAACCCAAAGAAAAGATTCAAAAAGTCTCAGGTTCAAAGGACCAACTGATTAAATAAAATGTTAACTACTGCTACTATTACTATTTATTTATTTTGTTTTATAAACTATTGAGTTAAGTGGTCAGAAATGTAATAACTCTTAATTATGAGGCGTAGGATAAAATAAGAGACAAGTTACTAGAGGTAACATCTTTCAGAATAAATATTTAAAAAAAATCAATTGAGGGCTGGGTGCGGTGGCTCAAGCCTGTAATCCTAGAACTTTGGGAGGCCGAGGTGGGAGGAAGGCTTGAGCTCAGGAGTTTGACACCTGCTTGAGCAAGAGTAAGACCCCCATCTCTACCAAAAATAGAAAAAATTACCCAGGCACTGTGGTGTGTGCCTATAGTCCCAGTTACTCAGGAGGCTGAGGCAGGAGGATCCATTGAGCCCAGGAGTCTGAGGTTGCTGTGAGCTAGGCTGAAGCCAAAGCAATCTAGCCAGGGTAACAGAGTGAGACTTTGTCTCAAAAAAAAAAAAAAAATCAATTCAAGTCAACATGTATTTTCTGAATGGCCTTTGGTTTCTTTCTTAAATTAAAAGCATTTGGCTATATTTAAAAACAGTAAAAAAAGAAAGAGAAAAGGAAATCTTAGTCATTTAGGGTGTTTAGTAAATAACACACATATCATGTGATATCCGTCTTAATCTTTTATTGTAGTTCCTTAAAATTTAATTATCAAATAGAGAATTTAACTTTAATAATTTAAGTTAGAGCAAATTCTTGCTTAAATTTTTTATTATTAAAGTTATCACAGATTTCAGGCCACACAAGACTTACTGTTAAGCACAGTAAGTAGACTCCTACTTGCTTTTCTGGAAAAAAAAAAATAATAGCCATTTGTTTTGGAGATGTCAAACAATTTTTGCCAATATTGATAATGGTAAAATCAAATTATATTTGTTTAACAACTGGATGCTAATGAAAAATGTAAGATGATGTTGTCTTTGCTATAATAACATAAAGGCCTGGTTTTTGTCCTCCTATCCCTAGGTGAGGCATGCTAATTTACATATTTAACTTAAAATGAGAAGAAGAACACTATTAAAAGATTAATCTTCTGAATCATACTTATAGAACTAAAAGACACTAAAGCAACTTCTTGATTTTACACATGAAAAGACTAAGCTCAGATAATTTATCTTATTTATTAAAGGTCTCAGATATTAGTCAGCAGGTAATAGGGCCATAATCCAAGTCACCCAAATTTTGTCCAGTTTATGATACCACATTGTTCTGCTATAAATGTTTCAACTACAGATTTAATAGTAAAGAGTTACACTAAATTTAATGTGATATTTAAAATGCTTACCTTTTAAATGTCTTGATTAACATTTGATTATAGCAACTATATCTCTTTATGTTTTTATTAACTCTCTAAAGAACTGCCTTAACAATATGCTATGATGACAAATGAATTAATAAGATTAAAGAGATTGGGATCTAAGGACATTCCAATTTTAATATCCGAAAAGACAAAATAACCTGTGTAGGCAAACATGACAAATGATACTTTTGGTAGTGACTGAAGTATATAGCATTTATCTCAAGTGTCCATGCTATTCTAAGAGGTGGTATCTTTGCAGCAAGTTTTATATATAAGTTGCTGTGGTTCCACAACCGCCTGAGGTTTTTACTAAAGTATGCTGAGCAAACAGCTGCTTCCTGAACCTGTGGTAGACAGTGAGTACCATAAGCATATTCAAAGGATTGTGGTTGAGTTCCCTAGCTGATACTTCCTATATTTAAAATCTATGAGAATATCCACAGTGAGTAAATTTTATATGGCATATACTAAGTTTAGGCCAAATCATCTTCTGAAAATCAATAAAAAGAATATTATGAACTAGAATTTTTTTACTATCACAGTATTCTAGGATATTAAAATAAAGGAATGGCTCATGTTTTTATTTACTCTCTTATAGCATTAACATATTACATTTCTATGTCTCTTGCATATAAGAAAACACGGAATACAAGTTTTTACCTTAGTGTTTGTAAAAATTTTGCCAAATGTCCGGCAAAGGCGCCAGAAAAATCTGGAGAATTCATGGACACAGGCAGATGAAGTAACATTAATTTTGCCAACTATTTCTATAAGTTGTGGCAACCTGAATATGAAAGGAAAGAAAAATAGGCAGGGGATACATATAAATTACTGTTTCCTTGCCAATTTCTGAAACAATGCAAATCTAACAACCTCTTCTATTTTGTTTTTTGAAAGCAAAGCAAAGGAATTTTTTGGAACCCTTTGAAAAGGTCTTAATATACTACATTCTATTGTATAAATACTTTAAAGTCAATTTTAACAGTTTGTTATAAAATACATGGAAACTTAAAGGTAGAGGTCTGAGTATAGAGTTAATGAGACTCAAATCTATGGATCTGATGCTTCACGCAAGAGCTTGGCTAACAGGGCATCCATTTTAGTCCCCAAAATGAGAAGTCTGGATGAAGTTTAAAATCAATCACCACTATTGGACAAACGAGGCAGCAGACAGATCCTTTTGACATAATACAGTTGCACCTTCTTCATAAATAACTACATACCCAATGGTGTGAATCTCCTGTCCTAAAGAAGTTTACTATAAATGATGCCAAGTTACATTTAAAAAATTTTGTTATATTTTGTCCCTCAGTGCCAAGGCTAAATATAGTGAGCTATCTTCCATTCAACAGATTTAGGTATACAAATGAATGTGGAGGTGGTAACTTACAATTGATTGACAACCCATAGTAAACTCTCCCAGCCTGTTGTACCCTCATGTTCCAGCTGGTAATCATAAAGTTGCAGTAGCACTGCCAATTGCTCACGACTTCCAATAATAGTAGACACATCTTGAAGAGGTGACATAGGCCGAGGAAACCTAGTTACTATAAATAACAGAAGCAAAATAAATCATATGGAAAATGGCAGTTTGGAAACTTAAATTTTCTGTCAAAAGGAAAATTCCCCCCCTTATATTTAATTAACTTATTATAAATGTTAAATATAAAGCAAACATATCAATCAAGTCATTCTTTAGGAATAAAAGAAATAAATTCTTCTCACATGTGAACAAATTCAACAAATCTCAAAAGTGAAGTAGATTTTATGAGACTATATGAGTCGGATACTGTAATGAAATAGTTTGCTAATGAATAGTAAAATTTCATTTAGAGTAAATTAAAATTGACCCAAAGATAAGACTGTCAGATAAAAAATAGATTTGAATTTGGTTGAAAAACAATAGAAATATCTGTAATTCTACTGGACTGTTTATGGCAATGAAACAATAAATATGATAAAATGTTTCCTTCAGAGAGTAAGGAACTAATAAGTTAATAGCAGGAAAAAAACCAGAGATATATATATAAAATACATTAGAGCTTCAGCTGAACAGGTTTCTTTAGTTTTAATTCTCAATATCAAATGCTTTGCTTAAAAAATTTCACAGTTGGATAAACATCAAGTTATTATAAAATATTAAAGCCAGTGATCAATAAGATAAGGCAAAGTGTACTACTGATATTAGAACCAGGGTCCCATGCTATATACTTTAAAAGTTTTTTTAAAACTTACTTTTAAAATTCTATAAATATTAGGTTATTAAGTATGGAATGTCCAATTTCCTTAAGTACTAAGTTTGACAGTTGATATCTCTGACATTTCACTTTGACACTTCTTGTTTTTTTCTTTTTATTGTGAAGGTACATACATCTTCATTCTTTCAAACGCACATTTTGGCTTGTGATTATCTTTCAAATTTCTTTTTTAGAGCAGTTTTTGTGAAAACATGGATAAGTCCAAAATTTGTGTTATTTTTGAATGTGAGTTCTGTTGTGGAACTAATGCAGTGCAGACAGCTCAAAATATCAATGAAGTGTTTGGTTTGACATTACAATTCCAACAACATTGGGCCATTTGAAACCAATTGGCAAAGTAAAGAAGCTGGATAGATGGGTTCCACATGAATTAAACGAGCATCAGAAGGGAAATTGGAAGCTTGCTTTTTTCTTTGCTGTCACAACATAAAGGCAAACCATTTCTACACTGTATTGTTGTATGTGATGAAAAATGGATTCTTTTTGACAATTGCAAGTGTTCGGCACAATGGCTGGATAAAGATGAAGTGCCAGAACACAGTCCAAAACCAAATATTCATCAAAAAAAGCAAATGATGTCTAGTTTGGTGGTCCAGCACTGGTAATAACCACTACAGCTTCATGAAACCTGGTCAATCCATTACAGAGGATATCTACTGCAACCACTTGGATGAAATGATGAGGATGCTTGCAATTAAGCAGCCAAGATTGGTCAATAGAGACAGACCAATTCTCTTTCAAGGCAACATATCACAAAAAACAATGCTATTCAAACTATAGAAGCTGGACTTGGCAACTCTGTGTCATCCACTGTATTCACCAGACCTTAGGAACTGACTACCACTTCTTCCCAGCTTGGGATCACTTCTTGCAAGGAAAAATACTCAACTCTCAACCAGCTGTGGAACATGCTTTTGTGATTTCATAGCTACTCCTTCTCCAGGCTTCTTCACTGTTGGCATAAGCAAGTTACTGTTATGATGGCAAAACTGTGTTGATAGTTCAGGCACATACTTTGATTAATTGTACTTCTTCTTGTTCAGATATAATAAACTGAACTTTTGATTCAAAATAGGACATTTCATATTTAATGACCTAATAAACCATGCATATACATATATATACAGATTTGGATGGCGAGGGATATTTGTACTTCATATATCTGTATCATGTCAAAGCATATCTGACATAATTTCAAATAGGATTCTACTATATTGATCACAATCTGCTCTACTATGATAGAATGAATGTTATTCCTTCAAAAATATTGATAAATTATTGGAAAATAACAGAATAATTAAAAGCTAGGTCCAACAGAAGCAAAATGATGTTGGGAAATAAGCAATTAGATGGATTACTCAGTGATTATGGATAAGCAATCAGAATGGCTCAGGAGGCTCAAAATATTTTATTTAACTGTGATTTTTAAAAAAAATTGAGTGTCTAACTTATAACAACACAGAAAAGTTCCCCAAATGCCATTTTAATAGGCTGGTAAAACATCAGCATTTTATTGTCAACAAAATAACCATAATTATCCAGCAAAATAACAGCTGTTATAAATCTTTAATGTATTTCCCCTTCCACCAGAATGTAAGCTCTATAGCAGAAATTTTTGTGTATTTTATTCATGAGTGTATCCCAAGTGTCTAAATCAGTGTCTGATATAAATATTAGTTAATATTGTAGAATAAATTGGTATGGTTACCATCTTTATGAGGAAACAGATAAATGTTCATTCATAATAAATTATATCCCAAATTATATGTATCTGTAGACAGACATATAGACATAGATATATGGTTATACCCTATATGAGGATATAGTAAATCCTCATTTATAATAAATATACTATAACCTAAATGAGGGTATAGTAACATAATATTTATAGCTACTGTTAAAAATCAGGGAGTCAAGTTGAGTCAATAAGAACTGAAAATAAAAGATAATCACAAGAATTCACATAAATATTAGAAGGAATATATTTAGGATGGTAAAGAAAGTTTTTTTTGCTTTTTTTTGATACAGAGTCTAGCTCTGTTGCCCAGGCTAGGGTGCATTAGCATAATACAGCTCACTGCAACTTTCAACTCCTGGCTCAGCCTCCTGAGTAAGTAGGGCTACAGGCATGTGCCACCATCCCTGGCTAAGTTTTTTAAATTTTTTGTAGAGATGAGGTTTCCCTACGTTGCTGGTCTGGAACTCCTGGCCTCAAGCGATCCTTCCCACAAGGATCACTTTTGGCCTCCCAAAGTGCTGGGATTACAGATGTGAGCCACTATGCCCGACAAACAAAGTGTTTACTTTCCCACCAAACTGCTCTGCCTAATCTTCAGCATATGTTTGACAACAGATGACATTCAAGAATTATTTGTCAAATAATAAGTATTATGGATAGAACTACCCCCACCGCCAATTTTTATGTTCAAGTCCTGACCCCTAGTATCTCAGAAGGTGATCTTATTTGGAAAAAGGGTTGCTGAAGATGTAGTTAGATAAGATCATGCTGGAGTAGTCCCTTAGCCAATTATGACTGATGTCCTTATAAAAAGGGGAAATTTGGACACAGAAACAAGCACACAGAGAAAGTACCATGTGAAGACAAAGGCAAAGATTGGGGTGATGCATCCATAAGCAAAGAAACACCAAAGTTTGCCAGCAAACTGCCAGAAGCTAGAGGAGAGGCATGGAACAGCCTTTTCAGAAGGAACCTACCCTGCCAACACCTTGATCTCAGGCTTTTGGCCTCTAGAACTGTTAAATAATTAATTTCTGTTGTTTAAGCCACTAAGTTTGTGGTACTTTGTTAAGGCAGTCGTAGTAAACTAATAGAGCAAATAGAAAGTGAGGGAATTAGGAAGATAGGAAAACTTCTAGGCCAGCGGTCCCCAACTTTTTCAGGGACCATTTCCATGGAAGACAATTTTTTCAGACTGGGGGCAGGGAAGGGGGGATGTTTTGGGGATGATTCAAGCACATTACATTTACTGTGCACTTTATTTCTATTATTATTACATTATAGTATATAATGAAATACAGCTCACCATAGGTTGGGGAACCCTGTTGTAGGCAGATGAAGTGCCTTAATGAGTATAGGAGTAGAATCTGAAGTAGCCAGCTGTGAGTGCTTTATGAAGTCTTATTTTAAAAGTCTGAATTTTCATTCTCCTCAATAATACCATTTTAAAATATTAAATTAACTCCACACCACGCAGTCTCAATTTTCCACATAAAACAGACAAGAAAATAGTATATACCATTTTTTTTTCTCTCTATTTTTTTTTTCTTTTTAACAATAAATCTTGGTGAGAAAGTATATACCATTTTTATCACATGGGTCACATATCCTTGGACACAATGCAACATATTCCAAAGATTGTAGGTAGCCCAGAGATTACTTTGTAAGAATAATGTGATTCTAAAGCTTTAAGTGTCTATTGATGTTCTCAATATTATAATTCTTTGTCCATCAGAAGCCAGTAAGAGACATAGTAATTTCACAAATCTAAAAAGGCTGGAAAGGCATCTCATACATAGCCATAGCTTGTTTACTGCCATTTATTCTGGGGGTTAGGTGCAGTGGGGTTATCAATTGTATTCCAAGTACCAAAGGTCACTTACTAGTTACCTGGACAGTGAGATAAGAAAATACTGGCATCTGCTGTCAATTTCATGTATTTCTGAAAGTAAGACATCTTCCTTCTTTGGAAAAAAAAGAAAACTCTGCACCATCTGCTTATAATATTCCTTTCTAGCAAGGACATAGTAGGAAATAGTAATTACATTTACCTTCTTCTATTGAAAATAAGGTGAAACAGTTGAGGAAGAAGAAAATATAAAGGAAACAGAAATGACAAGCTTCACAAATTGGCACTAGTAAATATTAAATGAATCTTTTTGTTGACTCAGATCTATTCGTGGAAGGGAACACTCACAATAAGCTATAAAAAGACTACAGATGAAGCCATATAGTTTATCTTAGATATCATATAATTCATGAACATGAGATTTCACACATATAACACATTTTAGTAATTATGCTGTCATATAAAGTGATGTTTAGAATTTTAACCAAAAACAATTCTTTAGGAAGCTAAGCTGATAATATTCTACATTTTTCTTCCAGAATTTAAGTCCAGTACCTTCTATCTGTGGCACTTCACCATGAAGCTTGGCTTTGCTGGAGAAAGGCGCATTCTGCAGCACTAATGCAAAGAGAGATGGGATCAATGATTGTAAGGCAGAAAGATACATGTGGAGCTTGTGTTCATCCAGCCCATGTTCTCCTTCCTGAAACATAAAGAGGTGGAAGCTAATTTTAGTCTTTTGAAATTACATCTCTAATTGGATTTATATATGACTTTCTTCCTTTCTGTGGCAAATCAAACATTTAAGGACCTGTATGTTGGACTCAAAACATAACACTTAATGGAAATGTGAAAATGTAAAGAAGCATTAAGGCACTATAGAAGTGGTAGAATCTTTTAGGTGGAAAACTTTAGGGTAAACATCAGTCATTTCCATTTGTGGAACACATCTTTTACAGACTCTTTTTCTTTAGAGAAGGTATAGCTTTTACAGAGAGGTCTTCATTTTGACATTTTTAAAGCCATGATAAAGAACTTAAAGTGAGCCACAGGAATCATTTTCTTTCTTTTTCTTTTTAAAAACTGATACATAATAATTGTACATATTTATGGAATACATGCAATATTTTGATACATGTATACAATGTGTAATGACCAGACCAGGGTAATTGGGATATCTGTCACCTTGTTTATCATCCTCTGAGTTAGAAACATTCCAAATAGTCTCTTCCAGCTATTTTTTGAAATATACAATAAATTATTGTTAACTACAGTCACCCTATTGTGGTATCAAACACTGGAACTTATTCCTTCTATCTAACTATATGTTTGTACTTATTAACCAACCTCTCTTCATCCTTCCCTTTCCTCTACCCTCTCCAACCTCTGGTAACCACCACCCTACTCTTTATCTCCTTGAGATCAATCTTTTTTAGCCCCCAAGTATGAGTACCACACATGTGATAATTGTCTTTCTGTGCCTGGCTTATTTCACTTAACATAATTTCCTCTGGGCTCATCCACGTTGCTGCCAATGACAGGATTTCACTCTTCTATAGTTGAATAATATTCCATTAAGTACATGCACCACATTTTCTTTATCCATTCCTATGTTGATGGACACTTAGGTTGATTCCATAACTTTGCTATTGAAAACAGTGCTGCAATAAACATGTGAGTGCATGTTTGACATACTGATTTCCTTCCTTTTGGATATACCCAGCAGTGGGATTGCTGGATCATATGGTATTTCTATTTTTAGTTATTTGAGGAACCTCCATACTGTTTTCCATAATGGCTATACTAATTTACGTTCACACCAACAAAGGTTCCCCTTTCTCAGTATCTGCTATTTTTTATCTTTTTGATAAGAGCCATTCTATCTGGGGAGCGATGATACCTTATTGTTTTAATTTTCATTTCCCTGATGATTAGTGAAGTCCCGCATTTCTTCATATACCTTTTGGTCATCTGTATGTCTTCTTTTGAGAAATGTTTAAAATCTTAATTCAGATCATTTGCCCATTTTAAACTGGATTTGTGTTTCTTTTTTGCTGTTGTGTGTCTTATATATTCTGGTTATTAATCCCTTGACAGATGGATAGTTTGCAAATATTTTCTGCCAATCTGTAGGACATCTCTTCACTCTGTTTATTATTTCCTTTGTTGTGTAGAAGGATTTCAGCTCCCTATAATCCCATTTGACTATTTTTGTTTTTGTTGCCTGTACTTATCCAAAAATATTTGCCCAGCCCAATGTTCTGAAGCATTTCCCCAATATTTTCTTTTAAAGTTTCATAGTTTCAGGCCTTATATTTAAGTCTTTAATTGATTTTGAGTTGATTTTTATATATGGTGAGAGATAGGGATCTAGTTTCATTCTTCTGCATATAAATATCCAATTTACTCAGCACTATTTATTCAGGAGATTGGTCTTTCCTTAATTTTTGTCTTGGTGCCTTTGACAAAAATAAGTTGGCTATAAATAAATACATGGATTGATTTCTTGGTTCTTTCTCTTTCATTGGTCTATATGTCTGTTTTTATGCCAGTATCAAGATGTTTTGGTTACTATTGCATTGAAGTATATTTTGAAGGTAGTGTGAATACCTCCAACTTTGTTCTTTTTGCTCAGGATTGCTTTGGCTATTCTGGGACTTTTGTGGTTCCATACAAATTTTAGGATTTTTCTATTTCTATGAAAAATGTCATTGGTATTTTGATAGGGATTGCACTGAATATGTAGATCACTCTGGGTAGTATGGACATTAACAATATTAATTCTTCCAATCCATGAACATGGATATCTTTTCATTTTTGTGTGTCTTCTTCAATTTCTTTCAACAGTGTTTTTACAGTTTTCACTGTAGAGATCTTTCACCTCTTTGGTTAAATTATTCCTAGATAATTTATTTTATTTGGTTATTATAAATAGGATTGCTTTCTTGATTTCTTCTTCAGATTGTTCACTCTTGGCATATAGAAATATTCAACTGCTAACCTAGCAGCAGCTCTTGCTCTTGCTTCTTTGCTTCTCTTACTTCCTAATCTCTTTTATAGATCTGGCATAAAATAGGCATTAAAGAAAAGATAGTTTCTCTTTTAGCCTCTAAGAGAAACTTTTTGTACAAAAATCAGATCAAAAAGTTTCTATCATTTCTTCAATTGTTTCACTTGGGAAGAATAAAAATGTTCATTTTAAAAAGGGAGAAAATGAACTACTGCAGTGCAATAAACAGTTAAAGAAATTTTGACATTATGTAAATAAGAAAGCTTTAGAGACTCATATTATAGCTATCTTTGTATTCTGGAACTGGAGCTGAAATTTTACATAAAATATTTAAGCCCTCAGAAGGGTTAAGGAAGATCTAGTTTCTGAATAATGTAGGAGTTATTTCAGCTAACAAACGGAGCTCATGCCCTTTCTCCTTCAGCTTCAGCAAAGCTTCCTTGAATCTCTCTCTTAGTTCTAGTCCAACAAAATCTTTAACTGGCAACATATTAGAATGTTCAGCTGAGTGGTACTTTATATCTCTGCTGCCCAATATTCCTTTAAGTTGGCTTAAAAAGACCTTTAAAATTTCTATAAACCATATAAACAAAGGAAGGACTTACCCTGAGAAGTTTTTCAATCTTGTTCAGCAGTGTAGGTATAAGATGAGACTGTAAATTTCCAAGTTCTGTAGTCCAGGCAGCATAAGCTGGTAAAAATACTTGGTGTGTAGCACTAACTACTCTTTCTGAGGGATCACCCAAGGCTGACAGCAATAATTCAAAACCCTGTCAATGAGAAAGAGGCAAATATAGATTTTTAAAAGAATAAACTTTTAATAAAACTTAATATGTAATAAATATACTTTTCAATCAATTTAGAAAATATTTTAGGTGAGAGAGAAAGCCATCCATAATCCTAGTCTTCCTATTTTCTTTAAAGCAAATGCCTTGTATCTATTGATGAGCAAAGCAAAGCAAAGAGGGTGGTAAACATGACACACTTGTTGCTGATTTCCTGCCACAGAGCTGTGGCAGATATTATAAACGAATCATAGCATTCTTTCATCTGAGTTCCAAAACTGAAATCAGGCAGCCATCCCCAAGTGACTAAAGTTGACACACCTGCCATCCTTATTATACATTGTGAAGTATCAGAGATTTGGAATACTATATTACTCGGAATTTTATAATGGGGTAAAAGAGGTTCATTCTGAAAAAAATACCTGTTGGTACTTGTCTGGATCATCAATGTATCCCATAATGATACCAAGGCTTTTTATCACAGCTTCTCTTACCAAATCTGCCTTATCTTCCATTAACATTTGTTGCAACATTGAAAGAACCAAGGAGCTACGGATTTCTTTCTGAAAATAAACATGTTTTTACAATTTATTTATACTAAAGCACAAAAGTATAGGAAATAGTAACACCATATTAAATGGACACTAATATTTTGTTATATCTGCTTTAAATTTTTACTTTTCAAACATATAAAACATTACAGATACAGCCAAAATATCAGTCTCTCCCAAATCCATTCCTCTCTGAATTATGTATTAATCATCTCTCAGCATGTTTTTATAACATTATTAAATATGTAAACATCTCTCAAATCATTACAGTGCACACTAGCAGGCACTTTTGGCAAACCAACGAAGTCCACATTTGAGAGCACTGAGAATTATAACAACAGGGGGGATTACAAACATCATTCTGGCAATTAAAACATTTGCCTGGGGTACAGTGTAGAAACTATAAAATCCTGATATTTCTATTTTTTTGAAGTGATGAAAAAAATACAAAAAAGGATAATAAAATATGAATGAACTTTAAATGTACTTTAAAAATTGCATTGCTATTTTATTATGCTAATATTTAATATAAAGTCCACCACTCTTGTGCCTTGATTTCACACAGAAGTTTTTCCAGTTATGATAATGTTTTAATTATTAGCTGAGGCTAGAATAAAGAGTTATCAATATTTAAATTCATGTCCATTCTATTCCACTTTGTACTATTATTGTAATTTGATCAATTTATAAAACTTTTTAAACCTAAACATGTTTAAGTTCCTTTTACATATAATGGTTAAACTAAAATAAAAATAAAGGTAGAGGATGAGAATATTTTCATCAATTTCCAGCATGGTTTGATATGTAAGGCGTGACAGACATTTTCTAAATCCTGGTTTTCATTTTGACTTTTTAGAAATAAAAATACATTTAATTTGAGCAAATTTTAAACACATTTAGGCTGATGAATATAACTTTTGGTACAGTCATGTTTACTTACCTTTTATGCTAAAAATTGCCCTAAAAGTGCCATAAAATATCTTAAAAGGGCTTCTTCGTTGATACCAGCTCAAAGTAATACTATAGAGGTATGTTAAACTTCAGGTGGGCATTTATTAATACTTCATTCACATTGATCTAGGCTGAGGTCAACTGTGGCAATTAAGTTTTAGTATGCCACCCCCTTGGGATAGGTCAGGAGGCATTACTCTTTTAAGTTATGACCATACTGAGAAACTGCTGACATATACAGAGATTTTGCGGCTAATAGTAACAGTGGGGTGGAAGGCAAGTACAGATCTATTGAGGAAACATGTCTATTATTAATACTACTTAGTATTCTAGTAGAGTAGAATAGCTTACTTATCCTTTGAGAGCAAGTGATGCTCATCTGTTTTGATGCTTAGACTCACTCATATCAATATATATATATTGATTTATCACAACAATAAGATATATTTTCTCTATGAGATAGAAAAACACTAAAAAATTTCATCATGTTCCTGGTGAAGGTATGGGAAAATAAGAACTCCAATGTACTGTTAATAGGAGTATAAATCCATGCTCTCTTGGTCTGGGAGATTTAACACTGTCAAAATAAAAAATGCAAATGCTGAAAACAGCAAGATACAGAGTTATAATAATATGAGATATTTAAAAAGTGAACAGATACCCACACAAGAACCTGTCAATAGTGTTTACAGAGCTGAGTGTGGTGGCTCAGCCTGTAATCCCAGAACTTTGGGAGGCTGAGGCAGGAGGATCACTTGAGCCCAGGAGTTTGAGACCAACCTGGGCAACATAGCGAGACCTTGTCTCTACAAAAAATAATAAAAAAAATTAGCCAGGTGTGCTGGTGCCTGCCTAAAGTCCTAGCTACTCAGGAGGTAGAGGTGGGAGGCTCACTTAAGCCCAGGAGTTCAAGGCTGCAGTGATCCATGGTAATGACCCTGCACTCCAGCCTGGGCAACAGAGTAAGACCCCGTCTCTTAAAAAAAAAAAAAAAATAGTGCTTACATTCAGGCACTGTTAGTGGGATATAAAATATTGTATATATGTATGATTAATATTGGGTAAAATCTTTTCAAAGGATATTAAAAAACAAGCTGGCATATGTATAAATTTTTTTGCCTTAAAGTAATTAATTAAAACCTATTAACAGTAGATACCCTTGGAGACAATGACTGGGGGGTCTTTGATTTTCCTTTTATTTTGATTTTATTTATTTGTTTTATTTATTTCCTTTGATTTTCCTTTTCATATTGTATGAAAATTTATTTTCAACAAAATAAAAGTAAATACCTATTCTGGTATTCTGGGACTGACACTATGGACAATTCTTTCTTTATATTTTTCTGAATTAAAAAACTCACTATAAATCTTACTTTTTAAAAAGACAACTGTGTTACAATTAGTTTCTTTTCATTAAAGAATGAGGTTAAACAGTAAATGCAACTAAATAGCCCATGTGCTGCTGTACATACAATTACATTTTTTATAGTTTTCTTTAAGGACCATTTTATAAAAATGATGTTTTAATGCATGGGTCAGCAAACTTGCTGTAAAGGGCCAGATGGTATATATACTCTTGGCTTTGGTGGCCTTAAATTACAAATGGTAATTTCTTAAACATTAGTTGCAATGTGAAATCTTAAACCATGATATTGTTCATTGATAGTAAACTTTAAAAATTCTGATACACTAAATTCCATTGGTCTATCTTGGACTTTGAATGTCTCTATTTTAACCCATGCATTGATCATTTTGGAAAAACTGGACAATAGCATTATGCAGACTTTCTTCAGTATTGATGCATTTCATTACATCATCAAAAAATCCACTGATATCATCAAAAAAGTCTTTATGTACTTAGAAGCTCACAGTGGCCAATATAAGTTTCCCAAAATTCTAGTTCTTACTTAACAGCTCTAGTTTTATCACTGGCAATAAATGCTGTCTACTTGTTTCCTTAAAGCGGCAGGCCCAATTCATTCAACTTCATGAAAATGTCTGCCACATACCCAAGTCTGAATAACCACACACAGTTTGACTATCAGTAATTCTGTCAAGTTGGTGGTCCCATGAAAAAAAGCTGCCAGTTCAGCTCACAATTCAAACAACTGCACAAGTGCTTTTCTTAAAAACAGCTATCAAACTTCAGAGTGCAGCAAAAGGGTTTTAAATGAATATTTTATATTTTGTCTCACAGAATATTAAAAAGATGCATGGTAAAGGGTTAAAATTTAGTAAAATAATTTTACTGATTCAGCAAGCTCTTTTTAAAGTTAAATTGGCTTTTTCTGTGGATGCATGCTAGTGAAAAATACAATCATTATTAGTCTATTTGGGTAAGACTGCCCTGCTTGTGCTAATGCACCAGCATTTTTGTCTATCACTGCTTTTGCATCAACAGTGCAAATATCAACACAGTGAAAAAGACAAAAATATGTTTTACTATGGGAACAGTTTTCACCTCATGGATTTTTTTGAAAAGATCTCAAGATAGTCTCCTAGGTCCTCAGTCCTCAGGCTACACTCTCAGAACTGCTGATATAGTTTAATATATTTATACTCACGCAAAATCAGTGTTAATGTACCTGTGTGTCTGCAATGTTATATTGTATTAATGTGAGTGAGCTTTTTCGACTCATTTTATTCCTATATTAAGACAGCATGCCTAGGATAATTTGATTAAAATGTATAAGATACCTGAAAAAATGTTTCTCTATTATTATAAAGGAAAAAAGTTTTTAAGAAAAAAAAATGACAATTCTTACAGGAAGGTAAGGTGCCAAGGCTCCACAGGATTCTGCCACAAGTAGTCGTCTTTCTGGGTATTTGTGATTAATCTAGAGTAAAAAATAAATACATCAAGCCTAAATGACATAGCTTCCCTTCTTTCAACAGAGAATTATTCTTTACCACAAATCCTGTTAAGAATGTAATATAGCTTCTTCCTTTTCCACTTCTGGGAATCCCTGTGTGACTATACCTGGATCAGAAATAAGGGAAACAGGGAGAGCCTAAAACATGAAGTCACATGGGGGTCATCTGTTAAAGAAAAAAAGGAAAACAAAAGGTGAAAATTTGGCAAAGTGTCCAGAGATTATGGGCTTGCCCCAAATTAGGCTTTCCTTAGGATGTCAGGAGAAATCAGGACCTTCCCCTAGCAATATTAATATATTTCAAAATTTGGAAAACCTAGCTTCTAGATCTTATTGATATGGTCTACAATATGTGCTGGTCTTTTTTAATCTAAGGGATTAGTAAGTAAAGTTAATCAATGATTTAACCCAGGCACTTACTAGAAATATGATTTTATTTTTAAAGTAAGTAGAGTTCAATCCATTGCTGTTTGCATATGCAAAATAATGGGGTTTTGCTATTGTGACTACACTGAACCATAACAAAAAATAACAAAAAAATGACACATACTGGGTTTTGTTCCCATATGTCTTCTTCATAGAATATATATCTTTCTTTGACTGGAAAAGAAGTATATCTGTTCTCATATTTCCATATGAAAAGGTGACATAATTCATTAATGTATTGATGCCTAAAATTAAGAAAAAAAATTATGTAGTAATCTACTGGGCCACAAACTGGAGGTAGGTGGCTAGAGAGATCCCTGATATCCATGTTTATTCACCTTACAGAAGAGGTGGTAGTAGAGATGTTTTTAACTGACATCTCTGAATTAAATTTACTCCAGATGTAGTTACCTCAAAAGCAGAATGGTTTGAGTGTCAGAGTATGCTACATAAACTTTCATTTGCTTTTCTTTAGTTTAGCTCAATAAGTTTCAAAATTAAATGTATATGTGGAAATCAATTGTATTTTTACATATTAAAAATGAACAAACAAAATTAAGAAAACAATTTTATTAATAATAGCATCAAAAAGAATAAAATACTTAGGAACAAATAAAAGAAATGCAAAACTTATACTACTCTGAAAACTATAAATCACTGTTGAAAGAAAATTTAAAAGACCTATATATAAAGAAAGACATCCTAAATATATAATACTCTCCAGATTAATCTATAGATTCAATGCATTATTTATGAAAATCTCAGCTAGCTTTTTTTCAGAAATTGACAAATGGATCCTAAAATTTATAGGGAAATCCAAGAGACCTAGAATAGCTAATATAATCTTGAAGGAGAAAAACCAAATTGGAGCAGTCAAGGTTTGTTTTGGGAATGATAAAAATGTCTTAAAATTGATTGTGGTGATAGTTACACAACTTTGCATATACTAAAATTATTGAATTGTACATTTTAAATGAGTGAATTGTATGGTATTTGAATTATATCATAATAATAAACTTAAAAATGTAAAAAAATAGAAAATGGAAAAAACTAAAAATTAGATGTACACATGAATAACTATACAGAATTGTAAATTCAAAGTTTCATATATTGTATATAAGTTAATTTTGACTTTAAGTGATTAGAACCTCGCCCTAAATTAGTATGCACTGTAATTTTAATGATATAGGGAGTGTCAGAGGTAATTATTACCATATATAATGTTTACTTTACCCATTGAATCTAGTGACTCCACTATATTTTAGTGAAAAAAATGAATGCATAAGGAAGTTGGGACTAAAACTCTAAATGACTAAATACTTCTGTGATATTCCAGAGACTAATACTTTTCTTAAGCATTAGGTTATTACCTAGGTGATAGGTGACTAGGTTATTGTAAATAAAGCCACTTAATTTGTCTTCCTAAGTGGGAAACACATCTTTGTAAGTTGGAAAAATAAGATGATTAATGATGATCTAAATACCAAGTCTAGAAAGTCAATGATTGTGAGATGAGTTCTATGTAGGTCTGCAACATTAAAATTCAATATAAAACCAAAAGTATTGTTAGTGAAATAATGAGTTCAATTATAAATACAAAAACCTCCCACATCCAGGGTTTACACTTTATATACTATATGTAATATGTGGAAGTATACTATATTTCTATTTACACACACACACACACACACACACGCGCGCGCGCATGCATCTTCTTGATCTTCCTTCCTTGAACCCATAAAGCACGTTTCTACCTCAGGGCTTCTGAACTTGCTGCATCTTACTTAATTCAAATTTTTGCCTAAACATCACTTTCTCAGAGATTCCTTCTCTGACCAGACTTTCTAGGAGAACATTTCCATCATTCTCTATCCCTGATCCTGCTTTATTTTTCTTTATAGTATATATCACTACTAAAGCATACCATTTCTTTGTCTACTCTTATCTTCCTACCAGGATGTCTTTGCCTTTTGTTCACCCCAGCATCCCTAGTGACTACACAAGTACTCAGCACTAGAATTAGTGTTTCTTGAATGAATGAATAAAACAAAGTACCTGAGAGTATTCTTAAGCACTATTATTAAATCACTGCGCTGAGCTACAGAAACAGCAGCATAAATTATATCCCACATACTTTCTAATAGCATTTAAAAAAATATATAAGCCTTTATAAGAAATTATAATATACTAAATAGGAAAAACCCAATACAGTTATTTACCTGTTCCCAACACTGTGGTAAAAGTTCAGCTTCTACACGTGTTGGTCCAACATGACGTGCAAATGCCACACAACCCGTCAGTATCATTTGTCTGAAAAATAACACAAAAAAATAAAGGCTTTGTTTAGGACTAAGGGTTAATAAGACTCATCTCTGTAATTCACATAAAGTACAATGTTTTTGTAGTCAAATTTAGACCTTACTAACAATGAACTAGACTCTCACCAAGACAGTAAATTCCTTAAGACCAGCCACTCAAGCAGTGGCAACACCATTTGTGCCAGATTTTGTAAAAGGATTTCTGTTTAGGTATGATGCTGACTCTCATAACCTTCTAAATTAACTTCCATGTACACATTCTGAGATTACAATATGCCCAATGCTTCAGTTTCTACTCAACTTCAGTTTCTAGCCACTAAAACGACCAGTGATTATTCCCCTAGTATTTCAGTAGTGAAAAACTATGGTATCATAGTAGTAGCACTGTGTTTTTCTTTTGTTTGTTTGTTTGATTATGTTACAGGGTCTCATTGTGTCACCCAGGCCAGGGCATAGTGGCATAATCATAGTTCACAGCAACCTCAAACTCCTGGGCTCAAAAGATCCTCTTTGGGCCTCAGCCTCCCAAGTAGCTGGGACTACAATCATGTATTACCACCCCTGGGTAATTTTTGTATTTTTAGTAGAGATGGGGTCTTGCTATGCTGCATAGGTTGGTCTCGAACTCCTGGCTTCAACTGATCCTCCTGCCTTGGCCAAAGTGCTAGGATTACAGGTGAGCCACTGTGCCTAGCTGGTATTTTTAAAATCAGAATTTTTTCTGATACCCAAATGATACCCAAGATAACCATGGTGGGTAGTTTATGACATGGCTCCCAACGATACCATCTCCTCATATTCTTGTCCTTGTGTAATTATATCCCATTGAGTGTAGACTGGACCTAATGACTTGCTTCTAATAGACAGAATATGGCCAAAGTGATAGGATGTCACTTTTGAGATTATGTTACAAAAGTCTGTGACATCCATCTTGCTGAACTCTACTGCCTTCTCAGCTGGCATGGTTTGTCAAACCAAGCTGCTGTGTTGGAGAGACCCATGTGGCAAGGAATTAAAAGTGGCTTCTGGCCAAAAGCCAGTGAGCAACTGAGGCCTTCAGTCTACTAATCCTTGACAAACTGAATCCTGGCAATGACCAAACATATGATTGAGATTAAAAGCAAATCCTTCTCCAATTGAGCCCTGAGATGAGTATAGCCCCAGCCAACTCTTTGACTATAGCCTTGTAAGAGATCCTAAAGCAGAGGACACAGATTCAGGACTTGCAGAAATCATAAGATAAAAATCTCTTTCTTTTGGGGTACTTTGATATAGAAGAATAGATTAATAACTAATATACTATTTTTACTTGATAGATTTATAACTTTAAAAAAGTATAAAATTTTAAGTAATATTTTTCACTCTTCAGAATGAACTTCCATTTAAAATGACTTTAAAATGCAGAATTTTATGTTCTTCCACTTTTGATTTTCTAACACTTTAGAACAACAACACCTAATGGGAAAAATGGCTATGTTTTTAATAGATGTTTTAAAGTAACCAACTTCAAAGAAAATCAAAATAGAATGCTTATTTAATCCACATTAATTATAAAATAAGTGCTTTAAGCCTAGGCATTGCTCATTGCTATTTCTCAATTTATGTAAATTAAAATTAACTGCAAATTGACTTCAAATTTCTATTTGGTTTAGTCTGATTAGTTACTAATATTCTCTTAGATTATTTGAGGAGAATAATGACAAAGATCTTTTGGACGACACTGAGGAAACAGTGAGCCGATATGTCTTCATTGTATATTGATTGTAGCAGCTTCTCATTTACCACAAATCCTTGTAATATTTATCTACCTGATTTTCCTTTATATTTGTTTATCATCATCCTCTGTGTCTATTTCTCAACTTTTCTTTTGCTTTTCTACTTCATTCCATTTTAGGAAGGCAAATAAATTAAAGTGAATAAAAGAAATGTGGACAAAGAAATTAGCAAGGTTATGGCCAGCATTATAGCTGCCTGCTCCCTAATGAAAATTTCCTAATATTTGAAAATTGTTTTTATCCCCTCTAAGGTATTAAAATGGGAAGGCATACATGTTTGATAACTGTACTCACTGAATTTTCTTAAAATGTAAGCATTTTGAACACTTACAAGAAGTACGCACTTGCATAGAAGAACTTCCCGTGGAATGACCAAATTATGAATCACTGTCCCTACATTAAATATGTACAAACTTCAATAGGAAAAAATGTTAGGCCCCTTAAAACAAACATTTTAGTCAGAAGAGTTAATATTCAAAATTCTAGAAAATATGACAGCTTTCAAACACAGTCCAAAACAGAAAAGATAAGATGGCCTACATATTATTAACAGCATTGGAAACAGGCTCCTCCTATGATAGTAAAAATAAATGTTGTTCCTATTTATGGAAAATAATAGTATAGGGATTGTTTGATTAGTAAATAATATAGGTAGAAATATGGTATCAATTATAGTTGTTAGCAAAGAACTGGAAAAACACCATTACTGAGCATAAAATTAAGTTTTTCTTAGGATACTGTCAAAGAAGCCTGCAATTCATTAAGTAAGGAAAAATAATAGCTGCTTATATGTCAAATATTATGCTAACTTAAAAATTTTACTTTTTTCATGTTATTTATATTACACAGTTAATCAATTTATCAGTTTATTTTCATAAATAATTATATTTCTGTAAGGTAAAAGTAGATTTAAGTGTGGACCTGGGCCAGGCATGGGCTGGACACAGTGGCTCACGCCTGCAATCCTGGGAGACTGAGGCAGGAGGATCACTTGAACTCAGGAGCTTGAGACCAGCCTGAATAAGAGTGAGACCTCATCTCTGCTAAAAGTAGAAAAATTAGCCAGGTGTTGAGGTGCATGCCTATAGTCCCAGTTACTCAGGAGGCTGAGGCCGGAGGATTGCTTGAGCCCTGGAGTTTGCAGTTGCAGTGAGCTATGATGATGCCACTGCACTTCAGCCTGGGTGACATAGTGAGCAAGACTCTGTCTCAAAAGAAAAAAGTGTGCATATGAGTATCCAATTCCTAATGTAACTTAACCTGTTGTAAGGCTAGTAGGTGCTTTTGGCCACCAGGTGGCAGCTATTAGCTTTATATGCAGAGCTTATGAAAATTGGCTCTAAGACTAAAGAGGTTTTTCCCTTGCAAATCCAGAAAAAAAATGCAATAAATGGTATTTAATTATTAATTAAGTTACCAAGGTAGGAAATGGTATTTTTCAAGGAGAAATAATATACTAATTTTTCTATGGTACCACCAGATTGTCCTTAGAAAATTTTCAGTTTGCAATGAATGATACTAACACAGTGATTTAATTAGGCTTATTCCCACTTGACTAGCACGTGAGGCCGCTGGTGTCAAATCATAAAGAACAATTCTATTGTTTTGCAAAGTACAAGCAACAATTGTTTTCTGGTAAGATAAAAATTATAACGCACAAAGATTCAACTGCCTTTTTAAAATCTAACTGGTACTTATTCCACCTACTTAGCCACTAGGTGATTTTGTTCAAGTCCACACTTGTACAACTTCTCCTAATATTTAAATGTTTTACTCTCTGAGGGTAGACATCTATCATTGTTGTTTGATCAAAATCCATTCCTCTTTCTTCTGATGTATCACCCTGATCTGTGGCCATCTCCCTCACTATTCTTAGGAATAACTAATTTCTCTACTTAGCAATCTTTGGTTGTGGGCATTTGACTCATGACTAACCCAAACACCATTCTGTATCCCTCTAGCCACATGGTAACGATTCACTGATATCACAGTGATCTAAAAATTAATATATTAAATATTTTATCTATTATAAAGCACAACCATTAAGAGGCCATAATGTATCTAGTTCATCTGTGGGAAAAAGAGGGCATACTTAAGAAAAATCAAGCATGAAAAATAAAGACAAAGGAATATTTGAATTAGCAGTCCAAAAGTAACTAATACAAAACTAATTTAACATGAGTAATTGAAATAAAAAGAATGAAAATACTGCAGAACATTGTGAATGAGGCCATTGTTCCCTCTGCTTATTAAAAAAAACTTGGGCAATTTTTCCTCTATTAATATACATAACTTCAAACTTCAAAGACTTTCATAACTTTAATTATGAAACCGGGATTTAACTGTTGAGGTATTGACTGGAACCAACTTTCTGAGGATTAATAAACTTGCTCATATTAAAACATAAAATGACTTGAATAAAATGTGTGGTTAAGTTAATGAAAATGTCATTATAAGGGAAAAATTTAAAGAGTTGTAGCAAAGTTTATGGAGGAGAAACCAAGACCTTTACACAAGCATTTTTGTGAACTTCTATTCGGTGATGCAGTAATTAATGCCAAAATGCTTTCAAGGCTGTTGATCTGTTGATATAACGCTATTCATGCTATGTGCAAAAGTACTGGTGGTTTTTTCAAAACATTTTATAGAAAAGTTAAGGCATAATATTGTAGGAACATATACATTTACATTTTGTCCACCACCAGGTATTATGAGCTATGGTTAAAGAGTTTCTGGAAATTATTGAAACCATGGAAGTTTGGGCAAATAATTCTTCAATCCTGCAAGTGGCCAATGAATACAGTGCTTTACTTATATTTGAAATTTATCACTTCAAACATGGATTCAATTTTCAGTAGTGTCAACTGTATTACCTTGTCTTCAATGTAAATTTAAAAATATTGCATATTTTAATTTTTTTCTTTCTGATATCTTCCCTTATTTCAGACAGTCTTTTTCCTCTAAGCCTACTTCTTTTGGCTACCTTTCTCCTGTTTTATAAAAACCATGAATTCTCGCCTCTATTTCAGGATACAAAACAATGTTTCTTTGGTGTTTGTAATAAATAATATTCAAGATATTTCTTCCGAATTTTTAGAGTAATTACTATTTTCATGTGCAGTGTAATTTTTATGGGGCTCCTGGTTTTCAGTGGACTAATCAAAAAATTTACCTAGCTCCAGTTTGAAAGGAAAGGGCCACAGCTAATAGCTTCACTCTTAGAGATATCTCAGGTATATCAAAGAGATAATAGTTTCATGTAGTTCTGCTGAATCTAGGTGTGCTTTTCTCCCTTTCTCAATGCCCAGTTATCTTGACAGTGATGAGAATTTGTTGTAAAAGATTTGAGGTCGTCTGGAGCTTAATTCAGTCAAATATAACATGAATAACTAATACCCCTGGTCCTGCCCCATGTACTTCTAGGGCTATTTCTGGTCTTTACCTGGCTTACAGGGTTTTACAAAGAAGACCACATGTTCTAGAATAAAAGATACCATTTGCCCATCTCCCTCTATTTCTTGTTTACTGGGAAACACTGACTGGAGACCAAATGAGGACAGAAGTAACTGGCTGCTTTAGACAAAAGTACTGGTTGTCTGACTTAGCGATTCTACATACTTTTTTAGCCAACTGAAACATACTTTTCTCAAAGTGAAAACTACAAGGGATTTAGATTGGTCCTAATCTAGTTTCATTCAATGATATAAAGTTAAGAGAAAAATTTCTCAGGCACTTTGCATGGTTGACTTCAGTTAACTTTGTTTCCCACACATGTTTAATGTTTATATCTTAGAATTTTTTAAATACCTTTTTTATGTCTTCATAGCAAATTCCAAAATGAAGAATTGTTGACCTATTACCACCTTGATCAGAAGTTTTCTTTCTCAACAAACAAGATTTTAAAAAAAACTCCACTTGCTTTCTGTTGAAAGAATCTCACTATAAGGTAAACCTTAAGAACTACTGCTCAGAATCTATCAAGGTTTTATTTTGTGTCTTTATAGGTGTTAGGAGTCATTAAAAACAACACTGAGAACATATGTAGGCAAGATGAGGTCAGGCTTCTCTAAAAAATCTGCTTCTCCCTGAGGGAGGTTAGGTTTTTATCTGGGGAACATTAGAATGCCTGAGGGGTTACTAGGTATGCCCAATTTTCTGCTACATCACCTAGCTAGACCCTGTTGCATTTGGAAAGCAGAGGAAGAGTTGCTTTCTAGCCAATATATGATTTACCTATACCATCTTTGAGGTCCCTTATTAACATCCTCACACAGTTTGCTCTCTCCCCCTTATACTGAGGGTTTGGTCATAACCTAATTACTAATTATTAGGAGACTCTATAAGAAATCAGAAAAGTGTATTAATAAAAGATAAAGTTTTTAGGCCAAAAATAACTATCCTATAATTTTCAGAAGAGAATATTTAGGTTTTTAAAAGAAATAAAGCTCACTAAAATTTAAGATCATTTTAATGTGAGCTAGTCCCTCAAAAATACAAGATAATTTAAATAATGTCCTTTAGTACCTGTATCTGTCTAGTAACTAACCTTGAGAAACTATTAACATTTTGGGAAGAAGGAAGGACAGAGTTCCCTTTCAAAGACTTAAATAATGAGAGTTGTCATAATCATAGCCGATGATAAGTACTCTGATTTTAGTAGGATTTGTATATGCTTTTAAAAAGATTTTTGTTTTAGGTTTTATTTATAATCCATAGGATAAATTTCCCAGAGCAATTTCCCTATTATCTGTTTATTTGTCGCAGTAAATTCCAAGACCCCTTAGAAAAGAGGGTTAGGAGGAAAGGGAACTTGATGACAGCACTGTAGTTTGAGATCCATTTCATGGGTTTTGAAACCATGAAAGACTAATACCACAATGGTGGAAAGTGCCAGTACCACTAATAGATATTGGGAATAAAAGAAGGCATTTAGATTAGAATGCTAATCTTGATGCCTAATTAGTAAAATTAATGTCAAAAATGCATTTATTTCCCAAAGAAGTAGTCACACCTACCTTTGTTCATCATCTGGCCTTTTGATCAAATTGAAAAGTATGTGAAGAAGCTGATCTCTCTCTTTAGGCTCAGGATGTAGGCATGCTGTACACAATATGAGGGGGATCAACTCCTAAAGAAATAAGAGGGTAGAAAAATTCAAAATAAAAATACATTGTAGAATATTCTTTTTTTCCCCCAAAATATTCTTAAGTGGACATTCATAGTGAACTAACCCTCAACATACAAAAGAGCTAATTTTAATTCTGTAAGGTTGGTAATTCAACCAACACTAAAAACATTAAAATATTTATGTGCTGATTGTGTGGGTGTATATCACAACATAAGAAGTTGTTTAAGATTCAACTAACCTTGTATTTGTATCCAGTACTTCCCAAGGGTCCACTAGCTTTTACCCTGAATGACATTCCATCATGTGACACGTTGACATTGTAATATCAGTTTTGGAAGTGTTTTTTAACAAAACTTACAGAAGTTCACTATATTTAAAAACTCAAAAACATAAAAAAATAAAGACACTTCCCATTTCTACAAAGACAACATAATGTCTTTAAGATTAGACATAATCTAAAAATTCTGTATCCTTAGCACTTAATCCAGTAGCTCATTAAAAAGAAGGGCCTATCCACAGTATTAAATCCTCTCAGTACTACTACAGAGATCACCAGAAACATTTGATGTGGAAATGTAAATTTTTAACAGTATTGTTTGATGCATAATCAACATACAGAAGAAATTCAACATTTTGTAAGAAATAGCCAAAATTTTATTTCTCTCTTTTTAGGAAATATTTGTTTCACATTCTAATTAAATTAAGATGAAATTCTTAACACTAAAATATATTCAAAATATATTGTTTTTCATTTTGTAATGGATTTTCAAATATAAGGAGAATAAAAGTACAAAAGCGATAAAATATTTTTAGAGAGAAATTCTCTAAGTTATAAAAATAATATTTTGCAAGTATATTAAAGAAATCACTATGATATACTGTATAAGTTTCAGAGTTATAATTATCTGGGACTATTATTACTCAAAAGTAAAAAAATTTTCCATGAAGCAAACATGAACACCAATGTAAAAAAATCAAAGTTTGGTTTCTCATAAGACAGGCAGGTCATCAGAGGTACCAACTACTTTAAAAAGTTTTAGAGAATTGCTTCTCTTTTTTCTCTGTTTACATTACAGTTTTAGTGAGATATACTTCATCTACCATAAAATCCATGCATTTCAAGCATACATTCAGTGTTCTTTTTTCATATATTCAGAGTGGTACAACCATCACCACAGTCTGATTTTAGAACATTTGCAATATTCCAAAAGGAAAGCTTGTCCCTATTAATAGTCATTCCTCACTTCTATTTCCATCCCAGCCCCGGACTCCTCCTTTGCTCTTCCAGTTTAGCTAGCTGATAGCAAATACTTCCTTGGCATAGAATGAAAATGAAAGTTAACTTTTGATGTAGTATTATAAAAAAATGCTTTCAGAAGTAATCCTTTATGAAATTTGATTTTTAAATGACAGAATTTCCCCTTCAAATGCATTTAAACAGAGATTGTGAAATCAACTTTTTTAGCCTATTTATTATAAACATGTATCAAATTATTCCATAATTTGGCTCAAAAGATTCAAGTTTCTTCAACCAACCCATTAATATGAATTACTACATAAGCCACATATAGAAAATTAGGCCATCATTTTATTTCATTTTTTCCCAAAATGAATAGGCAAGGAAGGCTTTTTAAATACAAGTTGGTAAAAAGAGACTACCATTATTTCACAGAACCTAAAATGTACATTTTTAAAAAACTTTTTATTATCTCTGAAATTAGGATGAACCTTATAATAGATAGCATGCCATAATTTAATTCTTAAAGGTATATAACTGTTACAACCAATTACAACTTAGATTTGAAATACAGTACACTAAATTTTAAAAATGTTATAATTGTAACCTGAAGATCGAGTGTGGTTGTTACTTTTCCCTCACTCCCTTTAAAACAGCCATAAAATCAGTTGAATGGGGTCATGAAGAGCATTTTTTTCTTGTTTATTTAGGGATTTTTTTCTTTATTATTCTAAAATGTAAAATGTTTGTTATTGCTTATCTTCTATTTTATCTTTTTGTAATTAGTAAAGGTAACATTTAATTTATAAAACTTTTAATTATATATGTATGCATATACATATGCACATGATGTAAAATGACTTTCCTACTGAAGGTATAATCAAAGTTTGAAAACAGTAATTTAAAACACTTAAAAGATAAAATATAATGTACCTTAAGAATAAAAACGTTGTTTATAATGACATAAAAAACAAAATATAATGTTAAGTGGAAAAAAGCAAAGTAGAAAACAGTACATAGAGTATCATTTGTTTAAATTATAGAAAAAAGATTATATATTTGAATTTGTTTATATATGTACAAAATATCTCTGAAAGAATATAATGCCATTCTACAATAATAGCTGTAGAATTCAATATTTGCAAAATGGATAGAGCTTCTAGACAGAAGATCAGTAAGGAAATAGATGACCTTAACCTTATAGAACAACTACATATAGACAACTAGACATATAAACACTCCACCCACAAATAGCAGAATATATGTTCTTCTCAAGTGCACAGGGAACATTCTCCAGGATAGACCATATGTTAGGCCACAGATAGTGCTTAGTAAATTTAAAAAGATCAAAATCAAAGTATCTGCTCTCTGACTACAATGAAATGAATTTAAAAATCAGTAATACAAGGAAAAACAGAAATTTCACAAATTTGTAGCTATTAAACAACACACTCTTAAATAACCAATGGATCAAAGAAGAAATCACTATGAAAATTAGAAAACACTTCGAGGTGAATAAAAATGGAAACACAACATACAAAAAATTAATGAGATGCAGCTAAAGAAATATTCAGAGGGAAATTTATAGCTGTAAATGCATACATTAAAAAAGAAGAAAGATCTCAAGTCAACAATTTTGCTTTATATCTTACAGAACAACATAAAGACCAAACTAAACCCAAGGTCAACAGAAGAAAGGAAATAATAAAGATTAGAGATAAATGAAATACAGGCTAAAAAATAATAAAGAGAGTTAACAAATTCAAAGTTAGTTCTTGAAAAGATGAACAAAATTGACAAACCTTTAGTTAGACTGACTTAAAAAAGATAGAGAAGATGCAAAGAACTAGAATTAGAAATGAAAGCAGGGATGTTAGTACCAACCTTAAGAAATTAAAGGAATTATAAGTGAATACTATAAATAATTGTTTGTCAACAAATCAGATAAGCAAGATGAAATGAACTAATTCCTAGATCACACAAATTACCAAAACTCAGTAAGTAGAAAATCTCAACAGATATAAAACAAGAGACTGAATCAATAATCAAAGATTTCCCAACAAAGAAAAGTCCAGGACCAGATGGCTTCATTGTTGAATTCTAAAAAACATTTAAAGAATTAACACCAATCCTACTCAAACTAATTCAAAAATGGAAGAGAAGGAAACAGTTCTACACATTCTATGAAGCCAACCTTAACCTGATACAAAAGCTGGACAAAGACTACAAGACAATAAAACTATAGAACAGTATGCCTTATGAATATGGACACAGAAAAGCTTAACAAAATACTATCAACAGATCCCAAAAGCACATTGAAGAGATTACAAACCAAGACAAAGTGGGATATATTCTAGGAATGCAAGGGTGGTGCAACACAAAATCAGGCAATGTAATACAGGTATACCACATTAATAGAATGAAGGGAAAAAAATCATATTATATCAACAGGTGCAGAAAAAACATGTGACAAAACTTAATGCATTTTCATGGTAAGAACACTTAGCAAACTAGGAATAGAGGGAAACTTCCTTCATATGATAAAAGGCACTTATTTATAAAAACCCTATAGCTAACATCAGTTAATGGTGAAAGACTGAAAGCTTTCCCCTAAGATCAGAAACAAGGCAAGGATATCTGATTTCTCAAAATACTGCTATTCAACATTGTATTGGAAGTCCTAACCAAAGCAATTAAGCAAGAAGAAAAAAACCAAAAGCTAACCAAATTGATAAGGAAGAAGCAAAACTATTTCTATGTGCAGATGACATGATACTATATAGATATAAGAACTTCACAGAACTACTAGGTCTAATAAAGCACACTACTAGAACTAATAAATTGTAAGGTATAAGATCAATGTACAAATCTCAAATTTGTATGATGTTTCTATACACTGTGAATAAATAAGTTGAAAAGGAAATTAAAGACACAATCCCATTTATAATACCATTCATAAGAATAAAATATCTAGCAATAAATTTTACCAAAAAAATGAAAGAATTGTACACTGAAAACTACAAAATATTACTGAAAGAAGTTAAAGGCCTAAATAAATGGAAAGACATCCCATGTCCATGAATTGGAAGACAATATTAGGTTGGCAATACTCCTAAAATGATCTACACATTCGATATAATCTTTACCAAAATTCCAATGATCTGTTTTGCAAAAATGGAAAGAAAAATAAAGTTGGAAGACTCATACTTCTCAATTTCAAAACTTATTACAAACTACAGTACTCAAAACAGTGTGGTACTGGCATAAGGATAGCTATACAAGACCAATGGAACAAAATTTAGAGTCCAGACATAAAGCCAAACATCTATGGCCAATTAAGTTTTGATAAAAGTGGCAAGACCATTCAACAGGGGAAAATTTTTCTCTTGAATAAATGATGTTAGGCAATGGACAGCCATATGAGAAGAGTAAAGTTGGACCCTACTTCACTCCATATATAAAAATTAACTCAAAATGGATCAATGACCTAAATATATTAGAACAACCCCATGTTTTCTTCTAATAGTTTTATAGCTTTAGTTTATATATATATATTCCTGACATTGGATTTAGCAGTAAATTCTTAAATTTTGACAGGAAAAGCACAAACAACAAAAGAAAAACATAAATTAGATAAAAAAATTAAAAAAACATTTGTCCATCAAAGGATATTATCAAGAATGTAAAAGGACAACCTATGGGATGGAAGAAAATATTTGCAAATTATATATGTAATAAATATCCAGAATATATAAATGCTAAG